TACCCTTGCATACATAGGTCGACTTTCGCCAATTACTCCGGTTTCCTGCCCTATTGCACTATTTCTATTTTATTTGACCAGCTAAGGCCCACTGAGCTATGTAAGCTCTTTTTCAGAAGCCACCTGGCCACACATGATAGCTCAGCGACGTGGCTTATCGTCATCATGTGGAAATGTACAGCAGCCAAATGCTCGAAACGCGTGATGTTGATTATAAATGTGGAGGGGAAAACCCGGAGGAGTTGGTGAAAAATCGACGCGACCACGTGGAGAGAGACACCGCAAACTCCAGATATACAGCAGGCGTCAGGGTCGAGATTCAAGTCACGTGCTCATGCATACTAGGCGAGGTAGGTTATTAACATCTCGCCACCGTGGCACACAGTCTTGAGACTGTGAGCCTTCTCCCTGTGAAGATCAAGGGAATTTAACACGTAGGCTTTCGCGACCAATATTATTCATAATCAACGTTTTTGGGTTTAGATCGCGTTATTTATAAATGTGTCGTAACCCTCCACCAACCGACACGGCCAATCAGTAAAAAAGTGTCACCATTGTGGCGAATTGCCCGATGATGCTGGATGTAATTACCAGCGAAACGTCGTACTCAAATTGTAAATGTTGTGGTTTCACGCTTCAACACACCGGTGGGCTAAAGCAGTGAACTATTTGTCTTTTGTCAACGTGACACTTTTTTACTGATTGGCCGTGTCGGGTGGTGGAGGGTTACGACACATTTATAAATAACGCGATCTAAACCCAAAAACGTTGATTATGAATCAAGAGAATTGTTATGATATTATCTAGAGGAGAACCACAAATTGGTTTCCCAGTTTATCTACAAAGGGTTGCGTCGATCCCCAAACTTGGATTTAAAATCGAATCCTTGTGATTGTAGCCACGCATTCTAACCACAACACCACCCACCCGGACCATGCTAGTGTATAGAAATATATGATGATGATGTTTTTCTTCATTCCATACTTCACCACACTCGTTAGTGGGGATTGGTGAGGAGGGGGCCCAAAACCGGTTCAGATATCACCATGATGTGAGCGGTGGCTGGGTATTGAAATCAGGTCACTGGATTCTTAGCGTAGAGTGCTCGTCACTGCACCACCGTTCTCCTCCGTATATACATTTATTTGTAAATATATTTCAATACAGTATATGGTGTACGATTATTTATCACCCACTATGTCTTCCATGTGTTGAGAGGTGTGCCTGCCAAGTGACTCGTTTATGAAATTATATATTTTTAAATGCGGGTTGTAACTTATTGCTCAATGCTATTACGCATATAAAATGTGCTTTATTATAGCGTGTTGACTCTCATGACCCAGAGCAAACAATCCGCACCTACGATTTGCACGTTTGGCTACATACGGTGCAAAAGAAGTTGAACATACACACATACACTGTCGTGTATTGGAACGTAGTGCAAGTTGCTTTGTAAATGTGTATCCAGTTGGTGAAGTCTGTGTATTCAGCATAGAGGACTTTGTCCTGACATATACCGAGGGGCAATGTTACCGTTTTTTGTGTAAATTATCGTGGAACAAAATGACAAAACAGCGAAACAGTCTGGAATATTTATCAGACATAATCAACATCAACATATTGTCACTATATTCTGTGGGTCTTTCGGTAAAACCACGTAGATAGAATAAAAATAATCAAAATAAGCAATCGTCTTCACCTGAAGACGATTGCTTATTTGAAGACGATTGCTACGTAGCTTTACCGAAAGACCCAAGGAATATGAACTCCACGAAAGCTTTAAGTCAATATATTGTCACTAATTATACTATAATCATCATCGGCCAAGTTCAATCCACTGCTGTACGGTCTCCCCAAGTCACTGCCAATTCTCAATTTTTGTTACGTAGTGATACACCCAGCACCTGCACATAATCTAAACCATTAAATGCTTTTTTATTTTACCAGATAAGGCTCGTTGAGCTATGTATCTCATTTTCAGAAGACACCTGGCCACAAATGATAGCTTAACGAAGCGGCTTTATCGCGTGGAAATGTTTAGCAACCAAATAATCTAAATGCATGTTTCTGAATGTGGAGAGAGCAACCGGAGGACCTGGAGAAAAATCCACACGATCACAGAGAGACCATGCAAACTCCAAATACACAGCAGGCGTCATGGTCGACATCGAACCCATGACCACCCATATAGCAGGTAGTTAACATGTCGCTACCGCAGCACCTTAATTTGATTTAATTGCTCCATCGCCTCGGTGGACGTCCTCTTGGATGTGTTCCATGCTACATTATATAAATTGATGTTTTTAAATAAACTAAAACAATTGTTTACAACAAGCACACGTGATCGAGAGTTGGGAAATCCGTATAAAATTCACTTAAAATCATGCTGAAGGACATCTTAAACAGGGCTGTTTAGCGGCGTTTTTTCCACTTTTGAGAGAGGCTTTGGGTAAGACTTTAATCTTACGGCCCTTTGTCAATCCACTGCTGGATGAAGGCCTCCCCCATACCTCGTTTGACCGTACTGCACCGGTTGAAACGATGAGCGCATTTCTTGTATCCTCTTTGCCTCTGTCCACCCACTGAGTCAGTTAGTAAATCAGCAGGTCACTTTTGGTGGGCTAAAGCGTGGGCGAGTGCCCACGTCTACCAAGATGTCTGGCGAGCATGGAAGAATAGCAGCAAATCAACTCTTCTGCCAGCGGTGACATGCAGCTAGAAATCGCACGGCTACCCGAGTTTCACAGATAAAGGGTAATTGTCTTGGATAATAAGTTCCCAGGAAGCCAACGTTGGGCCATCGTTGGCATGTTGTTGAAACTGTTGGCCTAATCTTCCATGTCTACTTGGTTGACCTTCGACATGCACTGACCAGCATGGTGAAGTATGGTGGAACAACTCCCACAGACCTTCATCCAGAGAAAACGTTAGGATGACAACTCCTGTCATCTGCGAGCCTTCTTAATCCTATTCTTAGGTGTTTTCGGTAAAGTCACGTAGGTAAAACATCAAAATTAATAAAAATAATAAAATAAAAATAAAGATCACGACGTTTCGGAGGCAACACAAGTCTCCGTCATCAGGTGGGACAGTCACAGCCAGATCAGCTGCATCAAGTGAGGCAATGATTCAAGATGTAATCCCTTAAATCATTGCCTCACTTGATGCAGCTGATCTGGCTGTGACTGTCCCACCTGATGACGGAGACTTGTGTTGCCTCCTAAACGTCGTGATCTTTATTTTTATTTTATTATTTTTATTAATTTTGATGTTTTACCTACGTGACTTTACCAAAAACACCTAAGAATATGATTCATTGCAGTCACGAAAGCTTCAAGTCTAGAATTAATGCCTTCTTAATCCACCAATAGTTTTCGTGTCTTACACAAGTGTGGATAAGAAGGGGTTCCGATTTACAGGGTAGCCAAAAAATCATGACACACTGGGTTATTTCGTTTATTTTAACACTCGCATTAAAACATTTTAGCCGTAAAGTCTTTAAGTTAATATCGATGATCACTTTTAATATCCATTTCTCTGCTTCCTTTTCAGATGACGTTTAAAAATGGAACGTTGGCAAAAGACGAACGAGTTCAATTAAGTAGTTTTAATATTTAAAAACACATCCTAAAATGTATTTCAAAAGATAATTCATGCATGGAAGTCAATTTGAACATTTGTTCAATTAAATGAAATAACCCTACGTGATTTGTTAAAATACGGTTACAATTACAATGTGTCCTGACTTTGGGCCACCGTTTGGAAATATGGAAGTGTTGGTACGAAGCCGATCCATCCGTTTTCCCTCTGCGGGAATACCGTCTTGTAAAGGAATAGGATCCGTTCTCAACAAGTGCTCTTCACAACACCCGTGGTCATGTCTTGTTGTGAAATGTACCGAACCAGCGTGCCATTACGTCGTATACTAGCCCATTCCTACCACACTATACAGACCACGGCATACCACACATACAGAATGCAGAACTAATATCTTAGGGGGCGTCCATAAAGACGTCACGCACCTAGGGGGGTCAGACATTTGTGACGATGTGTGACGAAGGGGGGGGGGGGTGGGTTGAGAAATGTGACGTCACATTAAAATTCGCAACTTTAAATAAATTTAGACAACACGTTCTACTTAATTAAATACTTTTTAATGTTTTCTCCTAAGACATCAGAGTGCAGCGCTACATTAAATACGCACTACAATGACAATAGTTTAGTTTAAAGCGATTTGAAGCATGTTTATTTTTGGGGGGGGGGGGGGGGGGCAGAGCTTTGTGACGTCATATTCGAGGGATGGGTCTGACTTTTTGTGACGCCGTGTGACTAAGAGGGGGGGGGGGGGGTCAAAAATATCAAAAATCGCGTGACGTCATTTATGCACGACCCGTTACCAGATTGCCCCCCACCCCGGTCTCCCTTAAATCGTGGCAAATGATTAGTCAGGGTCCAGACTGCTCCAAGGCCATCCGCCGTGTTACAGTACTAGCAAGTATTTGCAAAACGCGTCGCCGCGTGTGTGACACGCAACGCAACGCTTCTTGCCCAACCGCTGACAATCACAACCAAGGGATGTTGCCGCTGGCTGCTGGCATCCGCTGCGCTTGCTGCACCCCTCCTGCTGCTGCTGCTGCTGCACCCTCTTGGTGCGCGCGCGTGCGTCCGTGCGTGCGTGCGCGTGCGTGACGTATGTCACTCAAGAGCGTGCGTCTCGCGCCCGGGGTTTGGTTCCATCCTCTATGTGGTCTATGGGAGGGGGTGAAGGGATGGGGTGTTGTGTGTGTGTGGGTAGCCAGGGTGGGGTCTGTACATTGCCTTCCACCTATATGCGCGTCACCATACCTCCAACCCCCCCATCCCCATCCCCCTCGAGCCGACACGAGACCCGCATCTCGTCGTAATTCGAGGGCAGTTGCGCCCAGCCTCGTCGTTCGCCGGGGCGGGTCGATGGCATTCATTATTTAAGTCTCATTCATTCTCCCCCTCGCCTTCTTTCTCTCTCTCATGCGTCACAGCGCTCGGGGGTTATAAAAACAGCAGAGCATCCCGGAGCTCACACACACGCCGCTCTGTGTTTTAGACAGCCGCTTTTGCTCCTTCTCTGTGAGTGCCAGTCTCTCTCGCCTCCCTCCCCCTCTCTCTCTCTCTTGAATTGTTGTAGCTCTCATCAGCTTGGGTGTGTACGACGTCCTAAGCAATAGGATTACCTAGCTAGCCATCGCTCGCCTGTTACCGGCTTTCGTCTGTGCTGTCCAGCGCTTCAAACCATGTGTGGTGAGTACTCAATGTGACGAGCGCATCGTGCGCGCGCTGTGTGCGTGCATATCGTTACGTTGATCAAGGATGCTCATTGAAGAAACGTAAACATACGATTGTGTTCACGTATCTTGATTTATTATCTGACATTTGCTATTCGCAAGATTCACGTGTAGGTTGCTATGTAACTGAATACCCTCTTGGACTGTGGCTGTGAATTGTGATATGTGCTGTACACTGAAGCTGTCGGAACAGCTGATACTGTATATTCGTGAGCAGCCCCCTTTATGCTATGAGATGGGACTTATTCGTGGATTATCAATGGATTTAGTAACACAATCGAGAGCCCGTCGAGACTGCGTGTCTCCAATTGGAATTGGTGGATTGTATTTATTTTAACATTGGTTTACAATTAAGCGTTCCACAGAGAACGTCTGGGGGTTCCTTCCAACCTTGCAAAAAAAAAACAACACAAATTAAATAAATCTTCATTTGAAGCTTTCGTGACTGCAGGGATCCATACTCTTTGGTTCTTTCGGTAAAGTCACACAGGTAGACAATAGATCACGACGTTTCGTACGTCAGCAGTTTATCCTGCTGTGGTTGTCCCACCTGATGAAGGTTGCTTGTGTTGCGATCGAAACGTCGTGATCTATCAATTTTCTATCTACGTGACTTTACCGAAATTAAATAAAGTCAAGAATAATCGGCCATTCACTCAAATGCAGGACCTTCCCCAGAAAAAGCCTTGGTATTAACAACAGCGAGTGTAGAAATACCTTCAATATATCCAGTCTATTTTACTTAACCGCTGTGCAACAGAGCCATTGGTGATGTAACGAGTGCCATGAACTTGAACGAGGTGGTGGGGAGGGGAGGGGAGTGAGAGAGGGGGGGGGGGTCATTGGTGAGTGCTTTGGGTTGCACGAACCCGGAGCCGTAATTGAGCCCCTTCAGTGGAGCCCCATTTGTTTGGCTAAGGCCACCGATGCTTTGAATGCAACACAAAGTTCAATGTCCGCGGTTCGTGAAAACGCCAAATCTGTACACATCCGTGTCGTTAAGCAAACACTCTGCGCAAGCTGTACACGCCGCGGTTATTCCGGACGCGGATGACACGTCGGCGTGTGTGCTGAGCGATTGATTGGCGGGTCCTGTTTCTCGATCTGTGGGTGTCATAGGTACATGCGCAAGCGGTGGCAAATGTGGTCAGATAGCTTGGTTTAATCCAATGATAACAGATTTAAATTCCCAGTCGATCCCATCTACGGCGGCAGGGGGTCATACAATGACTTTGTGGGATAGCCAACAAGAGGGTCCTCGGTACAAACTTTCACAAATGGATGGAATTTAGATTTTACCGCATTGCTCGTTTAGGCAGGGCTAAATGTGCACGGTATTTTATGATGATGCAATGTGAATGTAGTTAATAGTTAATGTTTTTACGCTGTCAGTGAAACGCACACAAAACAATGACCAAACAAGCAGACGTCACAGATTTCCCTGGACACATACATGCCGCTCAACAACATCGTTAAATAGACATTAATAAGCACGCATCACACAAGCAAGCGGGCATACTATGTGTGGCAGCATTGACATGATGGCCTATTTTATCAGGACGTGTATTTTGGCCCGAACACTTACATTTCTGGAATTGTTGGGTTTGGGCAAATGTGTTATTTTTAAATACCCCCGGTAACAACTTTGAACGTTCCCTGAGTTTGGCTGCGTCGAGTTCGATTTAGACTCCGAATATGAATAAAAGCGCACGTGTTTTGCACACTGCCGAACAAACACGCATACTTGCTCGGGATGCTTGAGCTTATTAATAAGACTGCAATTTTACTTTCAAACTGCTCAATTACAGCAGAGGCCCAAGTGATTTATGCGTTATGCCGTCTGGAATGCAGTCGCAAAGTGTGCGCGCACATTAATGTGACCCTGATTTACCGGTGCCTCTGTTAAATGAATCCGCCTACAAAGGAACTTACTTGCCCTCTGCATGCAAGGCACATGGAAAGTGAATTGGAAGGCCCCTCGGTACAATGTGACAACGGTCTGAACAGCTATTCGCCATCACCAACCCCCTCCATCACCATCCCAACTTTTCACGGCGTAGCGTCAAAGGGCCACTGCAACTCGTAACACGTGTCCGGAAGCGGCTGTGTTTGTGTTTCTGCGTTGGCTGCTGGGAGGCATTTAAAGGCAGCGTGAGGCTTTTGAAGCGATGACGAAATAGTGTGCGTGGGTGTGGAGTGTGTATGTGTGGCAGTTTCTTAAAGGGGCCCTCTTGGTAGTGGCAGATTTAGTGGATCTCTCAAAACAGGGGCACCAAACACAGCTCGAGAGAGACTTAGGAGAAAAAGAACAGTGATATAACTTTTTGGAATGTGTGGATCTTGCTCAGAAGTCGCCGGTTCGATCTCCTGGCTTGCCAGTTGAAACAATGGGCACATTTATTATCCCTCCGTACCCTTCCCCACCGCTGTGTCATTTGATGGACAAGACGCATGTGGTGGGGTAAAGTGTGGGTACTCGTCCCTCTTCCAAAACGCACGGCCAAGGTGGAAGAGTAGGCCAAATACCCTTCACAGGGGTTTCTCCCTCTGTCGGAGGCACCTTCTTGTCAGCAGTTGCGAAAGCAAGAAAGCAATGTCAGAGCCGCACCTTTAAACTTTACTCCTGCAAAAAAAAACCTTCCAGTAGCTTCTTCACAGGTTTCAGAGGTAGTTACATGAAGGTTGCAGCAAATCATTGCACTTCTTAAACATAAAAATCAGGTTGTCGCCTGATAAAGCTAGTTGTAATTACTGGCGAAACGTCGTACTAAGATTGTAAATGTTGTGGCTTTGCTCTCCATCACACCGGTAGTGCTGTACTAGTAACGAATTGGCCACGTTCTGTTTACGTGACAAACCTTACTAATTAGCTGTGTCGGGTGGTGGCGGGTTTAACGACACATTCATATATTTACGCGATCTAACCCAAAAAAAACTGTATTGTGGATAAAAAAGCATGTTTGAGAAACGTTTACTGTACACTGATTTATGATGTGTACTCGGAGTGCATACATGGTGTGGTGGATAACCGGTCCTAAGGTATTTTAAATGTCAGAGCAATTCATTCACACTGCCAAGACCCGGGTTAAGAATCCACATTTTCAGTCGACTCCACTTGATGGTTTAACATTTCTAAGTTTAGATTCGTTTTCTTTTTTCGTGCAGTCTGGCCTTTCCGTAAGAACTTTGTCATGGGTGTCAGATCAAAGCATGTATTTTAGTTAGAGGACCACCCCTTGCAGTCGACATAGACATGTAAACATGAATATAAAGTTGGGTTAGCATGGATGCAATGCACATTAGTACTTGTTAGTACTTTTTCTCCGCTATTTTTGCGTGCAATTAAATCATGCTGTGTGCTATTCCTGGGCCACGTTAAACTACTAAAAGAGGGTTGACTTACCGGATAAGATCGTGAACATTTTATCAAACCGAGTGAGGTCAAGCACAGTAAATCAGTGTCGTAAAAGGGGGCAGGCTCACCTTTACAGCACCGGGAATTAACTTGTGTTGGGACGAAACACTGATACGGCGCTTTCATGCCATAAAGTGGTCGATATTCTATCAAGAAATCACATCCACGTGAGGCAATACAAACATACCGTGATGTAATCTTTACTTTGACCCTGGCGGGTAATTGTTCTTTACTATTTTTGGTTCTTTCTGGAAAGTCACGTAGAAGGGATAATATTATTTTATTATTTCCCTTCTACGTGACTTTACCGAAATAACCAAGAATATGGATCTCTGCAGTCACGAAAGCTTTAAATCAAGATCTTCTTTACTTTTAATGATAAGAAGGCTCAAAGTACTGTACTGTATACAAACTAAATAAGGGGTAACATTATTCGGTAACATTTTACGAACTGGAAAAAACGGTCACCTGGTTAATGGCCACAACAGTTTTTTCTAGCAATACTTTAGTAACGCGGCCGTGATATGCAAATATGGTTTAAAAGCCACTTCGTTGAGCTATCAATTGTGGCCAGGTCGCTTCTGCAAAAGAATATGCCAACGAACAAAATCACGTGGCATGAGCCCCGGTCTCAGAAGCCCTTGCAAGCATTAGCAGGGTTGGGCCTGAATTCGTGATTGCACGGGTGACCGCCATGTATGCCAGGTTTATTTTCGAGGTTGTTGTAGGATCGTTGAACTGTGCCGTGTGGTGAACAGAGGGCCTGTGCGGCAACATGCAATGTCGCACTGTGATTCTACGCTCCCACGTCTATGGGCAGCACCATGATAAACCCGCGTTGACCCCGCGTGGTGGAGTATGACCAAATAACCATTACGACCCGTAAGGTGTGGGGAGGCCGTCATCAAGCACGAACATTGGACACCAGCATGTGATGTGTGTAAATGCGCACATTTGCGTATGATTTTTGAATGCTGTATACGTTTTGCATTCGTGATGGGTATTAGTTTGTGTGCTTCTAGCCGACGGGTATTTACGTGTCTTTTTGTTCTCTTTTGTTCAGGAATCTTCGCCTACCTGAATCACCAGGTGCCCGTGAACCGCAGGCAAATCCTCGAGACGCTCATCAAGGGACTGCAGCGGCTGGAGTACCGTGGCTACGACTCGGCAGGTGAACGAATACCCGCGTCGAGCTGGCGACGGCAGACGCACGAGTGACCCACGCTGGACGATTGGTTAAACTTAATGCCAGAAGCATCCACCCCTGAACACCTCGGGGCCTCTGCCGTAGGGATCAATGACAACACTTTTGGAGGATCTGTTACCTTTTTAAATCCTTTATATTAAGTTCACTTGCTTGCTTGCTTACGACCGTGCAAATCTTTCGGTCGTTTTTTAACCCACTTCCCGTGATCCAATCGAGCTGACATTTCTCACACAGACTCATTGTGCGAGACTATTAATGTTCGTGAAATTTTTTTTCCAAAATTTTACACTGTTTAGGGAAAACAAATTAAATATTTATTTACCAATTGCTTAATACTGGCAGACAATCATCTGACCCATAGGTGGCAGCCATCTCAAGCCAGAGGACGAGAGGACTCTAGCCGCCCCGATGCCACGCATATAAAGGATTTATAGTGAAAAACTTTGTTTTTACGGGTTATACTTGTTGCTGATTCGTTTATGATTTGAGTTTTTTTCTTCTTACTTTTCTGCATTTTTTTTCGAGCAATTTTTATTCTTCCTTTTTATTCTCCACTTTCTGTCTCCTCCGATCCTTCTGCGTGTGTTTTCTTACTCTCTTCTGTTCTTTTCCTGCTCCTTATATCACAGCTGGGGATCACAATAATTATGCCCCCCCATGCTGTGCATCAGTCATCCTGAGAATGTGCAGCTCGGTTCTTTGTCTCTTTGAAACGTTGTTGAAATATTAAAAAAAACAAGAGCTGGCCATTATGAGCCGCGAATGCTTTGGCCGTTCCGTGATACGTTTTGTTGCGCCCATTTGGAATCTTCACATTGCTCGGTGGGAAAACCCAAGCGGTCAAGAATTGATAAAGGCAGCGGGGGGTATCAGTTTTGTCACGTGCATGTGCGGTTGCGAATGATACAACCTCCAGCGATAAAAACCAAGTTAAACAAAGACTTTGCTTCTGTCCACCAATCAGAGAGCGGTGGGTGCAACCGCTTTTATGGTGCAGTTTGGTGATAATGGTCAAGCCGAATGGAATAGTGTCCAGATTAAACGCGTTAGTGGGTGCAACCCGATCACAAACAAAGCTTTGAGTTTTACACTTTGGATCAGGCAAGATAATGTTCCAAAACTGCACAGGTGAATACTGTATAGCTGTATGCAAATTTTATGTAGAAACATCCGGCTTCCCAATAGCAACCACTCTTTAAGCACCTGGACAGTATCATGCAATTCATAGATGCCACTCGTTTCAAATATGTAAAATAAGACACATCTTTATGGCAATGAAGCGAAGAGAATCAATACGGACGTGAATTTCCATGTAATCCATTTACAATGAAAAAAAACATCTCTCTAACTCATGAACATAATGCATGGGTATGAGGTTTTTCTAAATTTTTGTTTTGAATGTATTTTCGTTTAAAAGCAGCGATCGTTGCGCAACGCTGTAGTGCCCCAGTGATCCAAGTTCAAGTGCTGGCCGTGAAACGAATGGCAATAAATACGTGAACCTCTCCTTCACCTCAACCTTGGTTGACTTGGATTAAGATGATTGTGACCTGTGATCATTGACCTCCCCCGAAATGTCCTGAGTCAGCCATAATCGCTGATCACTTCGGAACAAGTGCCCCGGAAATTTTCGAAATTAAAGTGAAATGATTGTTGTCCACATATTATTATTATTTCATTTCCATTGTTCCGCCACATCCCACCTCTCAATGTTTCCCCCAATACTTGTTTAACACACGCACACACACACACATCCGCAAGAGCCCTGAACAAGCCCTAGCCATTGAAATCTTTATTTTCAGCGCTGATGCCGTGTTGCCCATGGCTTTGCTTGTGAAATGTCAATGACAATGCTATTATTTCAATTCTGGTAATAATAGCCTGTATTCTTCGTTCGTTCGGTAAAGTCACGTAGAAAAGAAATACTAAAATAATAAAAATATAAAACTTTAAAATTCTCACGACGTTTCGACTGCAACACAAGCAATCATCATCAGGTGTGACTTTCCCGAAAGAACCAAGAATATGAATCCCTGCAGTCACGAAAGCTTTAAATACATGTTTTTATAATGGCCTGCGGACACTAGAATGTTCTCATTCAAGGGAGACCTGGGTGAAACGTAACACATCCTACCAGCAGTATGTTCTCGAGTTATACAAATAAAAATGCATGATTAAACATCATAAGGGCAAGCAGGTTCATGTTAAGAACATTCAGTGAGAGCCGGTGATGGGCACAATTAATGTATGTGGCTGATTGTGGTGTGACATTCACGTGAGCCGCCTTGGCTGTTTTGTTTCTCATGCTTGACACTCCCTAAAGGTATTTGACAATCTACACGTGCCATGGAGAATGGACAACTTGTCCAAAAAAACGTCGTAGATGCTATATTTAATTATTTAATTCCACAGTGTTTTTATCGAGTTTGTTTGCTTTTCTTGAATTAATTGAGCGTGTTACTCACTTCCAATGCAGCGTCACCACCACGACTAAGTACATGTTGTAGAATTACAAAATATTTTTTGTATACATGTAAGCACGTGTTTGTTCTATGTACGCATAACCTTGGACACCCTTGACAACGCGACCATTTCCTTCTCGAGCGATGATCCAGGTAGAATGATTTTCGAATGGACAAAAGAAATAGATTTTTAAAAATGTCCACACACATGAAGGGAACATTTTAAAAAATTCTAATCTTGAGAGCGTTTGTGACGGTGACCCCCCCCCCCTCCCTGCCAGGCATTGCCATCGATGGAGGCAACAGCAAGGATTGGGAGAAGAATGCCGAGCACATCACCCTGATCAAGAAGCGTGGAAAGGTGAAGGCCTTGGATGAGGAGATCTACAGTAAGCATTGCACTCCCTGGGCGGATGGATGCGTGTGTGTTTGAACTTCTTTCGCACTGTTACGTAGACAACCTTGCTAATTTGAGGTGTGGGGGGGGACAGCAAAGTAAACACCTCGTTTATGATAATTATAATATTCTTTGGTTCTTTCGGTAAAGTCAGGTAGATGAAAAAAAAAATGAAAATAACTCAATTTTGTAATTATTGTTATTTTTCATCTACGTGACTTTACCGAAAGAACCAAAGAGTATGGATCCTTGCAGTCACGAAAACTTCAAATCTAGGATAATTATAATGATGACCAGACCGAGGTGAGAGGTAAGCCCACACAGTCGCCAAGTGAATTGACTGCATTGTGAACTGCGGTCAAGAGGAACGTTTGTCCGGCGGGTGTAAGAGGTTCGGTCTCCCACCGTGGCAGTTGAGACAGTGGGTCCCACCCCACCGCTTGTCTACCTAGCAGGGGTTAGGGAATACGGCCACGTGCGATTGGCAACTCGGGTGTGCCGGGGTGAAGTGTGGGATCTCTCCCGTCTCTTGCAAGACGTTTATCCAGTGCTGAAAAAGTATGCCAAGGTTTTCTCTAGAGGTTCCCCCTCTAGCAGGGGAGGGTTGGGGGGGGGGGGCATTCTACAAGCAGTGGTGCGAGAAAGTAAAAACATTGCACTGCTTTGTGTACCCAGGTGCATATGTTAGAGGGTTTGTTAACCGTGTTTGAGAGCTTTCTGATTAGTTGTTTTCATTGCGTTGACAGCAGTGAAGGTTACGCCGTGCAAAAATTAATCAGCACAAGTGACGTGCTAAGGAATGCAGAGCTGATGTTGACTCTGAGGACGGATATCTGGCTACTTTCACCCAGTTGTGTTATCACCACTTAAGCGTGTACAAAAAAATACATCTCCGGGTTTTAGGAGCTATAATCTGCACCCCAAAGTTAAAAGTTACCCACAACTTGGTTGTAAAACTAAAACAAAATTTAATTGATAAAAATAAGTCACCGTTTGGCTCACCGGGAAGAACAGAGGCCGCTGCCGCTGAGATCATTGGTTTACAAGCGTAAAGAGTCAGCGTTCTCGATCCATTCACCAATAATGACTTCATACTCTTTGGTTCATTCGGTAAAGTCACGTAGGTAGAAATAATTCTAGATCACGACGTTTCGATCGCAACACAAGCAACCGTCACCAGGTGTGAAACAGACACAGCAGGAGGACTGCTGACGTTCTACCTATGTGACTTTACCGAAAGAACCAAAGAGTGTGGATTCCTGCAGTCGCGAAAGCTTAAAATCAAGATTTTCCACCTCATTTGCCAAAAAATTCCACCTCTGGGAATGAACAAAAAACATCGTTCGACCGCCATGTGAAGAACACGCAGAGGACACGCAGGACACGTAGAGGACACGCAGAACCGTACAACCACACCACAGGGGTGGGGATAAGCGGTGAACTGAGGGGAGTAGTTCTGTCACATCTCCCTCAGCGGGCCGTTCTCTAACACTCGACGGTGTTCTGCTCTGCGAGACCTCCGAATGAAGCCGTTGTCATTCCGTGACGCGAAAGCTGATTGCGGAATTGGAATGAAACTTAGAAAAAAGACGAACATTTCGACAAATAATTTCCCTTCAATCATTTCGATAGGTTGACACTATAGGACGATGCGCTGTTTTTGCTGTACCGTGGTTACAAACGTACACTAACATCTCGCGACAAGGAAACGGACTAAGCAATCTCGTCGTCAATCCCCCTCTCTCTCTTTTTGTTATTGTCGTCGTCGTTGTTGCCATTGAATGAATTCCGGTGCGTGGCGGTCAAACACCCGGTTATGTAAATGTCGCTGAAAGGAAATGACCCACCGCGCCGCGCCTCTCGCCGTACCTGCAGAGCAAAAGGACCTGGAGATGGACCTGGAGTTCAAGTGCCACGTCGGCATCGCTCACACGCGCTGGGCCACGCACGGGGAGCCCAGCTCACTCAACAGCCACCCACACCGCTCCGACAAGGACAATGGTGAGGCGCCCCTGTATGTGCTCACCTTCGCATATGGCACAAAGATGAAGTTACCCCCCCGCCCGCCCGCCCGCCTGCCCCACCGTAGCCTTTAACAGACCGTTGGGGCGAGCGCTGTTAGCGACCACCTAGTACCACGCCAGGCCACCATTGTCTCCCCAGCGCTGATATTTAACAGCCCTCGGCAGGTACTTATTTTAAGGCTGAGTTTACCTAGAGGAGGCCCAGGACCGGGTCAAATATTCAGCACTCTTATACTATTGTTCGTGAGCGGGAATGGAACTCGAGTTGCCGGGTTCGGAGCGCAGTGCGCTAACCACCGCGCCACCGCTCCCCATTCACGTAACCTCTGCGCCACCATTCGCGCATATGCACACACACACGCAATACACACGTTACACGCAACATATACAAACGTATGAAAACGCACCCAGGCAAGAGCTCATGTCTTGCACATATGAGCCAACCCAGAGATTCATGTACGTGCGGCTCAACATTAAGTACTCATATTTTGGTGGTGGGTTTTGTTTTTAGACTTCTGTTGTGTTCAAACCGTCGTTAATTTTGCTGATAGAAAGCATCAGTGCTGTAATCGCCATCATCATAAACTAAACTATATATTTTTTTATTGTACAAAGGTCAAAAACACCCACTAAGCTCTAAAGTAAATTTTCAGAAGCAACCTGGCAATACATGATAGCACAACGAAGTTGCTTATCATTTGGAAATGTATCTCAGCCAAATACTCTAAATGCATGTTTCTAAATGTGGAGGGAAAATCCGGAGGACCCGAAGAAAAATCCATGCAACCAAGGGGAGAACACGCAAACTCCAAATATAGAGACGTCAGGGTCGTGATTGAATCCACAACCTCCTGCATACGAGGCGAGGCAGTTAACATCTCGCCACCATGGCGTGCTATCGTCTCCAGCATTGAAAGCGACAACCGATATATAGCAGATTGGAACCACAATCACCATCTCATCTTCATAGGAAGCCTCAGTAATCATCATGGCCATCATAAGCAATTGAGCTGTTATGATTATTATCGCCATCATCAATCTCAAATACAGTGTTACAAATTACACCCATCATCACCTTCACGATGACAAATTACAAATCTAAGGCACTCCGATGTTCACCATGAGTACAATTTTTCACCACTCGTTCTTGAATATCACATCTAGGGAGTAACACACAATGCATTTTAAAGCATCATAACATCTCCCACAAGGCACACGACGCAAGTTGTGCATGTTCCGAGGGCTCCAGCTTAGAATGGACATGACCGGACGTGGGTGCCATGGGTAGGGGTGGGCAGTTGGGCGGGTGGGCAGATGAGCGGGTGGGCAGTTGAGCGGGTGGGCAGATGGGCGGGTGAACAGTTGGGCGGGTGGGCAGTTGAGCGGGTGGGCAGTTGAGCGGGTGGGCAGTTGAGCGGGTGGGCAGATGAGCGGGTGGGCAGTTGGGCGGGTGGGCAGATGAGTGGGTGGGCAGTTGAGCGGGTGGGCAGATGGGCGGGTGAACAGTTGGGCGGGTGGGCAGTTGGGCGGGTGGGCAGTTGGGCGGGTGGGCAGTTGGGCGGGTGGGCCGTTGAGCGGGTGGGCAGATGGGCGGGTGAACAGTTGGGCGGGTGGGCAGTTGGGCGGGTGGGCAGTTGGGCGGGTGGGCAGATGGGCGGGTGGGCAGTTGAGCGGGTGGGCAGTTGAGCGGGTGGACAGATGTTCGGGTGGGCAGATGTGCGGGTGGGCAGTTGGGCGGGTGGGCAGTTGAGCGGGTGGACAGATGTTCGGGTGGGCACTTGGGCGGGTGGGCACTTGGGCGGGTGGGCACTTGGGCGGGTGGGCACTTGGGCGGGTGGGCACTTGGGCGGGTGGGCAGTTGGGCGGATGGGAAAGAGCTCCCATTTTTGGCGGGAACAGTGACACCAATTGTGCCCACTGGACCGTGCTCGCCGAGGGGTATTTTTTTTTGCAGGAACACAGAGGGTACTCAGAGCTGCCCTCGTGTGTGGTACAGTATGACCGTTACCCACATGCGCCCTCCCCTCATTGCTTTTCCTGTTGTTAGCTCCCAAGATTGCCAGCTCTGGCCGAAATCCGCAGAAGCCCCAGAGTGGTTTTTGCATTGCATCCATTTCTAACACTGTGCAACCAACCATTCATTACTCGGTTGCGATATTGCTGTAGTGGTTAACTCTCGGTATTTTTTGACGCTGGAATTGGGCACGCCTTGCAGGGCACAACGTTTAGATACGTTCCACTCAAACTGCTAACTTATTTCATTGCCTCTATCCGTGTCTTCCGAGGGTTTTCCTTGAGCTTTCTAATCGCAATGGAGTGCGCTCGGTGCTCAGTATCACGGGGTAGGTTGACCTCTGACCTGGGGCATCTGTAGAGGGGGTCACTTTAAGGCCTCCTTAGGCATGAGGTGAAATGATAATTGACGTTAATAAATCTTCACGAAAGTGAACGCTTCAACGTGAACTAATCCATGGGGGGGGGGGGGGGTTGTCCTGCATGGTTACGGTAGTCTAGAATTCATATTCTTTGGGTCTTTCCGTAAAGTCACATCGATAGGTTCGAAAAAATAATAAGCTAAACAAAAAACTACGACGTTTCGATCGCTTGTGTTGCGGTCGAAACATCGTGGTTTTTTGTTTATTTTATAATACTTTGAGCCTATCTACGTGACTTTACCGAAAGACCAAAATAATATGAATACCTGCAGCCGCGAAAGCTGTAAGTCAAGATGTAGTCTCGAATTGATGAACTTTAGAAAACGAACATATATTTAAAATGTAACTTGGAAATCTTCACTGAGTTTCAAAACTCACTTTCAGAAAGGTCGGCATCACACTGCACTCGCTGCTGACGGCAAACACGGTCCAGGTATCGAACTCAGGTGGCCGGGTTCGCAGCAGGAGTTCACCAAGGCGCTGTTATTCGAATCCGGAGTCGGCGTATTGTGTGAGATCCTAAGATTCGACTTGGGATCGCCTGGCACAGCCGTAAATAACCACGGCTGCACCGATACGCCCGTTGTGTGCTGTCAACTCGAGGCAATGTTATGACAGACGAGGCACACAGGTGCCGTCATGCGACAGAAATATTGTTTTATGTTTTATAAAAAGAACATATATATATACTGTAACCGATCGGGCCATCGTCAAATTCGTTTTGTCTTAACATTCCATCCGTTTGTAAGTGTGGACAGGCCCTCGCCCCTCGTGTCTCCACCGTGTGATTTACTGCAGGTTATTAGCTGCCCGGTTTTACTTGTTTGCACGCTGGTTCTTTCAGGGTTCATTTGTAAGCCGAGGCGTAATTATTGTTCTTTGACTGCCTGACAGTACGTGTGCGTATTCACGAAAGACCGGAATAGCTGGTGCTGCTCCGTAGAAAGGCTGTTGTTGTTTAAACATGAACACGTATGCTGTTTCGGGGCGTCGCATTTTAACAATTGCTCCCCAAACAAAGGCGCTGAGATCGCGTAGCATAATGTGTACACTTTATACGCTTTACAAACAGCACTTCTTCATGTCGGAGGAAACAGTCCGGAACGCTGTTCTTGGCAACCATGCCACGTCACCCGATAATTTTGTCCTGATTTTTTGCTGCGACGCGTGCACGCGTGTTAAAGAGTGCTCAGTGTCCCAGACGTTGCTCATAGATAGGACTGAGACGTTAACTTCCCCGTTACTGAAGGTGAACTGCATCCAATGAGGAAGCCAAAAAGGAACACATGTCCGCGGCGTCGAAACAAAAGTCCCGCGACATTGTCGCCGACATTCCGAAAAATGTCTCGCGAGACATTAGGCCCCTGCGTGTGTGCGCGCAATCGTTAACATCTTAACAGTCGAATGTCGAGGCATTTCCCCCGGCTATGAATGCAAATTGGGGGTCAGTGGCGGTGGTGGTAGTGGATGAGCGCACTTGCACTGTGAACTCGGCGAACTGAGTTTGATCCGTCACTCCTCTTAGTAATGGTTGGGAATTGAATTCGGATCACTGGGTTTTTAGCACAGACATCTAACCACAGTTCCACCCCTCCACCCTGGCAACGAGCGATGCACTATCGGGAATACATTTTTTTTTAAATGAGCAATCCCCATTGTGTGTGCGTGTGTATACATATGTGTATTTTACCGGTAACACCCTTCAATTTCGTGTTCACTTAATTATTACCCATAAAAACCACACGCAATAGATTGTCCAGGGAATTGTTGTTCGAAATTGCCTGTAAGGTCATCTTGACACGCGATGTGGCATTGTAACCAACACGCTGCCTGGCCACTTTCTGTTCCCCAGCGCGAGCGTTCACACACGGGAGTATCGCTTGTTCATTTTTGGGCCAAATCAGTCCAGTTCGCATTGTAAAACCCCACTCGTTTTTTTTTTCCCCGTGGCCAAGAATCAAACCCAAAGGTTACCTCTGGCATTGTGGCGTGGCGTGCCAAACCACTGTACCAGCGAAACACATTTGCGTGCACGAACACGCACACGCGCGCATGTACATGGACAGACGGAGAGGGTTCATATTTTTTTTGCTTCATACGTGAAGGCACTTCAGCTCAGAGGAGGCAGAGTGTGTAGTGATTTAGAACAGGAAGGGGGGAATGTTGCCGCTTGCAAAACGCAGCAGAGTGGCCACGTGCAAGGCTCCCTTCACATCTGCTCCATCAGAACCAGATGTGCCGGAATATTTGGACTTTTTTCTGTCTCCTTTTAACAAAAAAAACCCAAAAAAATTTCAACGAAACAACTCGCGGGTCCGTTATGATGCACCGCGGGATCCGTGCTTTCAGCGCATCCATTGGCGCGGGCTCCAACCGACGCTTCTGTATTAGCCGACGTGTTGTCAGGATAGCCTGTACGTTCCGTGAGGTCTGCAGATGCCTTCCGTGGGGCGTTATAAGGTGGGCGGGAGGGGGCGAGGAATTCTGTCTCCTTTTTAACTTTCTAACTTTTTTCCCTCATGGCACTAAGCCCAGAAATCAATTCCCTATTGCCCCAAAGCACCCCCCCCAGCACCTCAAAGTAACCCCACTCTTCTCTCCGCACACACACACACCTTTACCCTTTAACTTTCAAATCGATACGGACGTGACGAGCCCGCATTTCTATCTTCTCTTTCTTGCCTGCGTGAAGGCGTGGGCTCGCATTTGTCTTTTGAGGGGGGTCGGTGGGGGAGAGAGCCGGGGAAAATGTGAAACAAAATAACTCAACACATTCGACAATAACTCCTGTGGTATTAATATAAATATATAATACGCGACGTTTTGGGCTATGGCCCTTCTTCATGGCACGTGAATTTCGAAAGTGCTGATTCATTTCTCTGGCCGGAGATACTCTGGGTTTTTTCCACAATTTTAAGGATCTGCTCGATGACCGGTTTTTTGCTGCTGTGCGGGTCTCGTGTCCACTGCCCGATTCGAGACTAAAGTGGAATTGGACATCCAAAGTCAGTCTATGGAATGCGTGGGCTTTTTCGAAGAGGAACAAAAAAACTGGTTTAGTTTGGGTGACACGTGGCCTCTCAGGAATTACTCAATTGAAATCTTCCATCTGTGAACTCTTTCGATCCAACTCTCCTTTGGTGGGTGTTATTCTACGTGTGTGTGTTATTTAATAAGATGTGTCATGTGCCTGCTGCAGTTTGCGCAATCTTAATCGGGTGGCTGGTTCTATCCGCTGACTATTATCTGCTAACTGGAAATGTCAAAAAAAACAAATGGATTTCGAGAAGTGTTTAAGAATGTTGATCTTAATCATTAAAATGTACTGTACATCTTCTTGGTTCTTTCGGTAAAGTCACGTAGAAGGGAAATAATAATTATTTTATGATGTTTTATTTTTATTATTTTATTATTTCCCTTCTACGTGACTTTACCGAAAGAACCAAGAAGATGAATCCCTGCAGTCACGAAAGCTTTAAATCGAAATGTAATGTACATGGCACTCTTTCTATATATACCAGTATTGTTATATGCATGTTATGGTGAATGATACGATACTGTAAAATAATATTCGTGTGTTCTTTGTGTTCACTAAAGTTGTCAGCATGAATATTGAAAACGTATCCTATGTTGATTTGATTTCCCCCTGTCCACAGTTCAGAGTCATTTCCGTTTGAGATCCCATTTGATATTAATGACACGTGCGTGCGTGTGTGTGTCTGCGCGTTTTCTGCGACAGAATTTGTGGTAATTCACAACGGCATCATCACAAACTACAAAGAACTGAAGAAGTTCCTGGTAAGGGAGCAGTTTTCCACTGCCATTAACTTGAAACTCCCGACAGACCTAGCTGGCACCGTGACGCGTCCACAGCCTCGCAGGGTTTGGCCTGAATGAGTGACGACAGAGGTGGCCACGTAACCTCTACCTGAGTCTGCTGAAGATTGTCAGAATCGTAAAATGTATTTATTACTGGAGGAATCCAATGAGCTATAAAGCTCTTTTTAACAGATGTCCAGTAGGGGCAGGTCATAACGCAAAAAGCACAATAGCAGTGCAAAGTATGGGAAAAGTAAACAAATCACTAAAAAATATAGAAAAACTAAACTACCAGGAAAGGCCCACTGAGCTATTAGATGTTTTTTCAGAAGCAACCTGACCACAAATTATAGCTCAACAAAGTGGCTTATAGCGGTAAAACAATTAAAAACAATTATTTAGAAGCATGTTTCTAAATGTGGAGGGAAAAACCGGAGGACCCAGAGAAAAAATCCACGCGTACAGAATATGTGTTATATTGTTATATTAGATTTTTTCTTATTCTTTGGTTCTTTCGGTAAAGTCACGTAGACAGAAAAATAAGAATAAAAATAAAGTGAATAAAAATGAATAATAAATAAATAAGCCATAAATGTAGACTGGAGCTTAGTTATTAAGTTTGGTGAGTGTACTGGCAGTCTATAGTGTAGACTGTAACAATGGTTATTATATTTTTTCTGGCTAAGTTGTTCCTACACAATACTGGATTTTACTCACGCGTATATGGCGGCATGCTGCCGTACTGCAATGGTTAGCGCACTGAACTCACATTCTAGGCGTCACCGGTTTCATCTCCTGGCAGGGCAGTGAAACAGTGGGCAAAGTTGTTCATTGCCCACACCATTATCCACCCCGCGGTATGGATGGGTACACCCCAATTGATCGGCAGGATCACGTGTGGTGGGGCAAAGCGTGGGTACACTCCCACCTCTTCCAAGATGTATGTGTGGTAAACTTCTTTCGCACCGTACGTAGGACAACGAATTAAAAAGATATCGGGCCAGCGTGGTCGAGTAGGTCGCAAATACCCTCTAGAGGCGTTCCCTAGAACATTCTCTCGTGGGTGCCCTTCTGCCAAAAGTTGGACGTCTACCTTGCTCATACCGTGCCTCACATTTAGGTGTAATTTAGGTTTTCAAACATCCATACATTTTTACAAAGCCGGCGTGTCCGGCAGAGCGGCGCTGCGGCTAGAGCACTTTGTGGGAATTAAAAATTGGTCAAGCTCTGGGAGGTGGAGCGGCGGTGCAGAAGTTCCCCGACCCAGCAAAACGAAGGTGGAGTGAGATGAGAGAAGAGTGATTGCAGGCAAGATCGAGATGAAACAGACTAATGGGGCTTTTATATATATATTTTACAATTTTTTTATGATGGTGCTGCTGCGTTGTCAGTGCTGCACATGCACAATTACCAATAAACTCTCAAAATATTCGTCAACAAAATGAATAGATATGAAACACGTAACATATAGCTGGCCCATTTCCCAAAATGCCACCTATTAGATATATTGTTTCAATTGAGGCTTCAGTGTTAATGCTGAATGTATTGCATTTCGATTTGGAATGGGTTTGTAATGTTCTTCCCTGGATGTCCCTGTTCTCCTAGGAGAGCAAGAACTACTTCTTTGAGTCCGAGACTGACACGGAGTCCATCCCGAAGCTCATCAAGTACATGTACGACAACCGCGAGAAGGACGACATCCGTTTCAGCGTTCTGGTGGAGCGGGTGGTGCAGCAGCTGGTGAGTGGAGTCTGCCCAGCACTCATCGCATCAGCTCCCACAATGCATGCAGGCTTAGGTGTCACCCCAAGTGCTTATAAACTATAAACCAAAATTTGTTTTACCAAGTAAGGCCCACTGAGCTATATAGCGATTTGTTTGGAGTGACCTGGTCACAAATGATATCTCAATGAAGTGGCTTATCACGTGGAAATTTATAGCAGCCAAATGCTCTAAACGCAAACTGCAAATATACAGGCGTCAGAGTCGGAATTAAACCAACGACCTCCTGTATACCAGGCGAGGTAGTTAACGTCTCGTCACCAAAGCGCCCCATTAGAAAGCTCAACAAAACAAACACTCATGATGGCACGTGCGAAGTCAAAGAGGTAACGCACGTTACGAAAGACAAAGAACCTCCATTTAGCGTCATTGATAGTAATGGCAAGTGCTGTTTGCAAGCACATTATGGTCACTATGGTACACTAGGGGGTGATGGAGCCAGGACCATGCATGTAAGACCACAAATGTTATCCCTGCGCTGATGCTTACTATACCTTACATGTGCAGCCCTTTGTCAATCCACTGCTGGATGAGGGCCTCCCTATGCCATATGGGTCGAGGGGGTTATCTGACCATACTTCACCATGCTGGTCAGTGAACATAGGCAGCATATACATGGGAGCAAAGAAGAACCAGAACAAGACCATACCAGACCACGTGCTATTTTAGGTCCGGTTGACTTTGGGGAGGCCCAAAACAAGATCAGATTTTAGTTGTTTGGTTAAGTGCATTTTCAGCAAATTAACCTAGAAATAACTGTTGTTTTGTACAAACAAACACTTTGCTTGACAAAATCTAATATCCAGCAATGGAAAATAAAGTGAAGTTAAACACAACTTTAATTCGTTCTTTCATTACAAACGTACATATTCTTCCTCTCAGCGTATTTTGATCCGCATCGAGCATTCACTGTTGGCAATGCCATCCGTCTGCAAACCGGCTGCCCTGCCCTCTTTGGCAGTTCAAGTGCCACCACCCGCTTACTAAGACGGAATGCGTAGACATACAGTCGCACTGACGACTCGGAGACTGAGCTCATCACATCCCGCGACGCAAGCGGGGCCTTGGGTCTCGCCCAATGTCCTTATGAGACAGCTGGATAAAGTCTATTAGCCTCTGCCAAATTTCTCCCCGGTGATTTCACAACAAAACTAACACCAAGGGCTGTATTCCCAATCTTGGAGGGACTCCTTTTGCCTTCTTCAATTTGATGTTGGCAAAAAGTGCCGCCCACCCAACGATTAAAATTGCACCGCCAAGTCCCAAGATAAATGGATACATTTCTCTTTTTGCCAAGATAATAACCGTGCCACGAGATTAATCCGGCAGATATTTGATACAGAATATCAGATTTAAAGTGTCGAGAATGGAATTCTGCATCTCGTGTCCTCAATTTGTATGTAAATGATCTGGCGCATTGAGATGCGTTTCTCAATGGACCAACACCCTGGTTAAGTAAAGTTGATTTATCGATCTTATCTATCTGTGTTATTATCACTGTCTCATATTCAATGCAATGTGTTTTACTTCTTGTAGGAAGGGGCCTTCGCTATTGTGGTGAAGAGCTCACATTACCCAGGCGAGGTGGTTTGTGCAAGGTAAGACTTTTTCATAATAGAAGTTTTTGTTTTTTGGGTTAGATCGCGTAAATATATAAATGTGTCGTTAAAACTCACCACCACCCGACACAGCCAACTAGTAACGGTTGTCACGTAAACAGAACGTGCCAATTCGTCGCGAGTACAACACACCGGTGTGTTGGAGAGCCAAGCCACAACATTTCAATGTGCCAGCAAGATGTCTCGAATTTGACATCTCGTTGGCACGTAACCATGACGAGCGGCGCAGCCAGTAAATATTCGACCACGTGAACGCAACGCATCACAAAAAGAACAGCTCTCCATTGTATTTACGATGTCCAACGTCACGGGTGCCACGGTGGCGAGATGTTCACTACCTTGCCTAGTATGCAGGAAGTCGTGGGCTCAATCCCGACCCTGACACCTGTATATTTGGAGTTTGCGTGTCTCTCTCCTCGTGGTCGCATTGGGTTTTTTTCCTGGTCCTCCAGTGTTTACCCTCCACATTTAGAATCAACACCACCCGTTTAGAGCATTTGGCTGCGATACATTTCCACGTGATAAGTCACTTCTTTGAGCTATCATTTGTGGCCAGGTCGCTTCTGAAAAAAAGAGCTATATAGCTCAGTAGGCCTTTGCCTGGTAAAATATAAAACAGTAGAAGTAGTAGTTTCGCTCCACATGCTGGAAGCTTCTTCAGTGTGTGGAGCGAAACGTCGGACATGGTGCGACTCAACACTCGGCAATAACCCGACAAGGCATCGGGACAGCTGTATAGCACAACCGTGGAGAAAAGGGAGAGAAAAAAGTGAAGAAAAAAACCCAACATTTGTCGTATAACGAGAGTAAGATGCAAAAAATGGCAAGAGAAACACGCCGGCGAAAGCGTAGGAGCCAAACGAGACACTCCACCCATGCGCGGGAGACATTGCCTGTCGTCACCATTGTATGTTGCCTTAGGTCACCGAAGTCTCTGATTTTTTTCCGGCCCTGCCATCTGGAACAGCGTCGTGCCAATCGGGTGTGCGCACAGGGCACACGCCTTAGAGTCTTTCCCAGGCGGCCTCTCAGTGTGAAGAAGGCAACAGCTGTCTTCGTTCTGCGCTGGACCTCATTCACTCGTCATAATCCCACCGAGATTACGGTCTTTCCCAGCATTCATTAAAAACGGCCAAAAAACTGAACATTGCAAGAAGAGAGAAAAAACAAACAGTTATTACTTGTTCATGATGTGTCATTGTTCACTTTCTCCATTACTGTGGGAATTGCACAATAGTTACAGTTACAAAAAGCCAAGGTTATTTGACGTCGAGTTTTCAAACAATGGCAATGTTTGCTAATTAAAAATAACTGGTCAAAACAATTTAAAAAATTGTGATACTGCGTTGGCAGTGGTACACAAACAAGTCAAGGCATTCTATTTATAAACGTATTTGAAGCCAAGCTCCACACAGTTGTCAAAAGTGCTGCGCAAAAGAGAGAGAACGATAGATTAGCGGTGTTTTGTTATTAATCTGCAGGACCGCTCGTATCAGCATTTAGATGTTATTCTCAATCAACAGTGGGTGTCCTGTGTAATCAACGAGATCCCGCCATAGAAACGTGGAATGTCCACCGTCTGCGTCAGGGCTGCCAATTGTGCTGCGTACTGCTCAGTGCTGTATTTTAGAAGAGATACACTTTGACCTGAACCTTTATATTCGTGCCATATATCATGGGGGAGAGCAGTGGCAACCCGAGTCCGATTCCTGGCCACGGCCAACAGCAGTAGTGGGTGACATCTAACCCCATCTCCCCACCCGCACTCCATCTTCCCTTTAATGGCTTCACAACTATGAATGCACGGCGGCTGCCAAAAGCATGAATACTGATGCATCATTTGAGATACGAGCTCGGCTTTGCCAGGAGGATCCCGCATCCGGATGAATGGTGCCAACACCGATTACAGTGTGCGGTTTTTTTGCATACAAACTCCCGCACCAGAGTCAGGCATCGAACCCAGGCATTGGTGTTACCACCGTTACCCCCCCCGCGTGTCTAATGTCTAACGCTGTTATTGTCACTGCTCTCGTTGCAGGAGAGGCAGCCCTCTGCTGGTCGGCGTTCGCAGCAATGGCTTCTCCGCCGACGAGATCCCCATCCGCTACCGCAAAGGTAGGGCAACTCCGGCGCCTCTTTCGTCACTCTCTCTCCCATCGCTAGCGCCGTGGCTGCTTGTTCTCGTGCTCTTCGCTCGTCGATTCCTGCGCCCATGTCGAGGACCCGCACGTAGCTGCACGTTGCGGCGTCACGCCCACACTCTGGCTGTGACTCACCGACTGCATTTTTTTTTCGTACTTTAATTTGACTCCACGTTGGAGGTGGCCACGTGGCTCGAGATTCAAGCGGAACACGGAGATTCCTTGGTTCGATTTTGGGTTACGGCCGCCATAAACTCTTCTCGTTGGTTCATCCGCCAATGTTCAAAACTCAGTGGACCAGACTTGACTGTTTTGTGCCGTCATCCACACGGTGTTCATCCACCACTTGCGCTTCCGCGGCCATCTGGAACGCTCTTCCTTCCGATATTAGCTAGCCACAGGAGCTCTGCACTTTTAAATTTAGATTGAAAACAAACTTCTCTAGAACTGATTTTTGTGTTTAGTTTGTTGTCCTTCCCCCGCAACTCTGATTAGCACGGTTGACTACGTATGGTGCGAAAGAAGTTCAACATACGTACATACAACACTTACAATTCTGCTTCTACCCTCGCACTCCTCCACTTGGGAATTCTTTCCCGTCATCTCTTTTCCAAAGCTCTTACAACAACCCAGCTCAATTCTAGAAACTTGTGAACTTTTATTATTTATTAATATATATATAAAACAACTTTGACAGTTTCGATTTAAAGCTTTCGTGACTGCAGGGATTCATCTTCTTGGTTCTTTCGGTAAAGTCACGTAGAAGGGAAATAATAGAATAATAAAATAATTCTCACGACGTTTCGGCCACAACGCAAGCAGCCGTCCTCAGATCGACACCGACAGCTGTCTTCCCGACAGACCTGTTCTTCACCTGAGGACGGCTGCTTGCGTTGTGGCTGAAACGTCGTGAGAATTATTTAATTATGTTTAATTTTTATTATTTTATTATTTCCCTTCTACGTGACTTTACCGAAAGAACCAAGAAGATGAACTTTGACAATCTTGTTTGTTGCAGGCAGTTTGGTGATTTTTTGCCTTTGGGCCTGTGGTCTGCAACTGCGATAAAAAAAATGGTTGTTCACCCATTCTCTCTGGGCAAAGTGCATCCCCTGTGGAGCCACAACCAACATTAGGCCCCAAGGGGAAGTCTTCTTTTTATCGACGCCTACTCGTTGGAGAGCAGGCGTTGCGTAAGAGACGGCACAAAAATGATTCTGGCTCGCAGGCATGCAAGCGACAGTAAAAAAATATGTTGCCGAACCAGGGTGCAAAAAAATATTGAAGGTGTGAAATTTGAAGTTGCTCTCTCGCACACGTCTGCTGAGCGCGTGTCTCATTTGACGCTCAACTTTGTGTCTGAGTCGAACGAAAAAAGCTTGCTATAGTGCTCGGCGAAGTATAGAGCGGCCACACTCGATGCAGCTAGACTATGACGCTGCCGGCATTTCATAATCTGCAATAAATGTACCAAAGCCGGGCGATGCTGGTGACACAACTACTACCATCTACACCATCATCATCGTCGTCAATGACAGAGTGCTTGACTTGCATGCGGAAGGCTGCACGTTCATAATCCAGATTGTTTATATCCAGACTTAGGCCCATCATTCTTCCACTGTTGATATGAGTTCCACTTTGTGAAAAAAATGAACAGTGCTTGTTCGACGGCGATATTGGGCCTCGTCATAGGAACATGGAGGGAGCAACACCCGGCAATTGTTTGAACAGGGAAGCAATTTCGCTTTTGAAACGCGGTCTATTGGACCTTCTAAGAATGTATCACATGAGAATACTGGAATGTTACACCGTACTTGCAACCGATACTTGGCTCTCTCGTCGTTCAGATGTCTCGGCGATATATCTTGGTCCCTGCAGGCTAAGTGGCTGATGTTTTCTCTGCCCCACAGCTTCCCACTGCCATCGGATCATGTTCAACAGCCACCTAGAGAACACAGAAGTGGAAGATATCTCGACAGGTAAATAGCCCGTCTGAGGTTCGATCCCCATTGGGAGGTGTTCGGTATTTTCTTTTCCGAGCTTATACAGGTTGGGCCAAACTATAAATGTACGTGTGAACGTGTAACGTGATTGTTGTGTGTGTGTGTCATGGTTACTCAGGCTCCCACGAGAAGGCAGTGCTCATCTCTGAGAACAGCACGGACACATCCTTCAACCACCTGGGAGATGACGTAGCTGTGGAGTACTACTTTGCTTCTGATGCCAGGTGCGGTAATGTGCGAGTTTGCGTCACCAACCGTTTAGCGGTAGCAATGAAGCTTTAATAATAAGGTAATGATTATTCTTCCCAACTGTGCTCTCTGTCCGTGCCATGTCACAAAATGAAGTGTCGACTTAGAACGATCTCAGAGCACTGCTTCACTCCGTGTTACAGCACGGCCTGTGGAAGGTGATCCTATAGAACTACTTCTTGAACTTTTTTTTTAAGGCATCTCTCATCCACACTCGGGGCAGCACATATTCAAATGCACGACAGTCACGTGACACTCAGTGGTTTTCTGCGACCACCCTGAGCCACCCAGCGGTCATAGGTTGGTGGAAAAAAAACGGTGAAACATTATTCGATAAGCTCTCGAAGAAATCTAATTGATGACAATGATAGTTGTGTTGATGATGATGGTGTTGGCAGAAATAGAAGTGGTTGCATTGATAATGATGACGGCACTAATAATGGTGGTGGTAGTTGTGATGATGGTGGTTGTGATGCAAGAGTGGTGAACTTGGTAAGGGACCGTCTCTTCTTCTCCTGTGCAGCGCCATCATTGAGCACACGAACAAGGTGATCTTCCTGGAGGATGACGACGTGGCTGCAGTCTTAAATGGCCACCTCTCCATCCACCGCATCAAGCGCAAGGCTGGAGACCAGTCGGCCCGTGCCGTGCAGACCCTGGAGATGGAGATGCAGCAGATCATGAAGGGTGAGAGACGTCTGCAAAGTAAAGATGCATTGGCGATTGTCACTTTTGACGACAGATGCGCATTGCGAGGTGGCCTTGTGGTTCAGAGGTCACGAGTAATGGGCCAACGCTGTCTGAGATCTGGAAAACCACCGATTTAACCAGGTTCTCAAGTAGACTGAGTTGGTTGATGGTCTCTGCCCAGTCCACAAGAGTATGACCACGAACACCATGATATAAAATAACCGTTTAATATTATAGATAACTCACGATGATGATGATTATCATCATCATGACTAATCATCGCCACGATCATCATTATCTAACGGAGCAATGGCGATGATATGGGAGATCGAACTATACGATAAATGTGTGGAATCGGTGAAGTATATTTCTTTCAATTGGCTTAGGATTTGGGTAGCTTTTAAGTTCAGGGTCAGTTTCTCTCAATCGTAGCACAGGGAATTAACAGATAAGTAGTGCACAACTCACTCGTCATGCTGCCCTGCCACGCGCTGTCTCGTTGAACAGGCTCGTACTCATCATTCATGCAGAAGGAGATCTTCGAGCAGCCAGAGTCCATCATGAACACCATGCGTGGCCGTGTCAACTTTGAGGACTTCACAGGTTGGCTGACCACTGCCGACGACTCGCCTCCGGCATTTGCACACAAACTTCTGTCCTAAATAGAAACGATGTGGTGTCTCAGTGGGATGATGATTATGAAGATGCCACGGTAGCGAGGTGTTAACTACCTCGCCTGGTGTACAGGAGATCGTGGGTTCGACCCTGATCCCGACCCTGACGCCTGTGTAATTGGAGAGTGTGCATGTTCTCCCCGTGGTCACGTGGCTTTTTCTCCGGATCCTCTGGTTTTGCCCTCCACATTTAGAATCAACATGCGTTTATTGTATTTGGCTGCTATAATTTTACACATAAGCCACTTCGTTGAGCTATAATTTGTGACCAGGTCGCGTCTGAAAAAGAGCTACTACATAGCTCAGTGGACCATACCTGGTAAAATTTTAATTGTTTAGTTTAATAGTTTAGTTTTAAGACGGTCACTGCATCGCACACTTTCAGATGTGCTTCTGCGGCCGTTTGGAACACTCTTCCTTCCGATATTGGAAAGCCACGAGAGCTGTGTACTTTGAAATCTAGATTGAAAACTAATTTCTTCCGAATTGCTTTTTTGTGTTAAGTTTATTGTGATTCCCCCGCACCTCCGATTAGCACGGTTGACTACGTACGGTGCGAAAGAAGTTCAACACACATGCATACATGTTGTGCTTGCTTGTGCGTGGATTATGTTTCCCCCCCGAGAGTTTCTGTGTTAAATTACACTGGTCAACAAAAAAAAACATTTTTTTCTGGCCTGGACTTTTGCAGCTGTTTTAGACTAATTTCAGGGTGCTGATTCCAAATCTGATCTCAGATTTGCTCATCACATCTCATTTTTATGCTATTGGCATACCCCATTTTCATTTATTTTACCCAAAATTAACTCTGTCACTTATGATTGCAAGTTGTTGCGAGTCACTGCTTTAGTGTTAAAATATGATGCTGTATTTTTAGGATAGTGTGTTTATAATATCATTTTATGTAGATATCCACATTTAATATTTTTCTTCTGCAGTTTTATTGAAAATGCAATATTTGATATCTAAAAGACCTGATGTGATAGACAAAAACTGATGCCAGATTTGGAATCGTTGGAATGCCTTATGCCAGAAAAAGTGTGTTGACCGGTGAATTATCGCTCTTCCAACAGTGATGTTGGGTGGCCTCAAGGACCACATCAAGGAGATCATGCGGTGCCGCCGTCTCATCTTGATCGGCTGCGGAACCAGCTACCACGCCTGCATCGCTGTACGTGCAGTGGCTTCATCGGCCGTAATAAAAGTCAAGAGATTGATTGGCCCTGTTGGCCATTGATAGGACTGCTTAGGATGAACATTCTTTATTACAGGTGACCGAGTGGTAGAAGTGGTCAGGGCACCGAGCCGGCAGCCAATGGGATCCTGGCTTCTGTTCTTAGTTTCAGCCTGCCGTGATGAAACCAGGTTGTCAATTTCCTTGACTTCATAGATTCCACCTGTGGATCTATATCTCCGTGTTGTTCCCAGGTCTAGGCCCCACTCTATGGGGGCCCGGGGCTTCCGCCCCTGCGTAGCCTCTAGACTCTGGGATGCTTTGCCGAGGGACATCGGGGATTCCGCTTTCATTGCGATCTTCAAGTCTCGACTTAAAACCTCCTCGTTCAGGAACGCTTTTCAACCGAATCGCATCATTAAGCTCTCGCCTTCCATTTTATTATTTTGTTCATAGTGTGAAGTTTTTTTTATGCTCACTGTCATTGTGATCCCTGGATGAAGAGCGCTCTACTGAGTCCAAATTATTATCGTCATCATCACAACATGCTTGACTAAAGCCTCGTCACTGGAGCGCCCCTGACCCTTGACAAACGTTGCTGCTGTCGCCGGCGCGTGCCTCTCTGTGCGTGCAGACTCGGCAAACCCTGGAGGAGCTGACCGAGCTGCCGGTGATGGTGGAGCTGGCGAGCGACTTCCTGGACCGCAGCACGCCCGTGTTCCGTGACGACATCTGCTTCTTCATCAGCCAGTCCGGTACGGCGCTCTCAAACTCAACTGCCCGGCACACTTCGCACAACACGGTCTGACCAAGTGATCGATCGATCCACTGAGCGACCGATCGACCAACCAACCGATCGATCGATCCACCGATCGACCGACCAAGTGGCCGACCGACTGATCGATCGATCCACCGAGCGACTTACCGACTGACGCTCGCAGCCAGAGATTGATTTTCGCTCTTCTTATTTCCCACGTTGCTCGTCAACTTGCATGTGGTCCTTGACGCATAGTAGACGAAAGGTACACCAGTGGGTGCGGCGCACTGGAAGTCAACTTGAACATTTGCTCACGTAAATGAAATAACCCCGACGTGGTTTGTTGAAATAAATATAATAATGCTATTTGTCCTGACTATTGGTCCACCCTGTGTACACACACACACACATACTTCACAAAGAGTGGCTGGGTAGTACAAAGGCTGGCTTATGTCGGATTCTCAGATGAAGGTCTAATCTCCACCTTCTGACAGGGTCATTGTGCACACACCCACGTTTAGGTTGTTGTCCTTCCCCCGCACCTCCGATCAGCGCAGTTGGCTACGTACGGTGTGAAAGAAGTTGAAAGACATACGTACATATCCAAAATGCACCATCTGCAGAATAAAATATATCCTTTTGACACAATTCCTAGCAGGGCAGGTGTTCATTCTTTCTGTTATTTAATTGTAGAAAATTTCAAATGTTCAATGATTGCTTGGGCACAAATGCCTATATATGTACAAATTCTACCGCTCTCCTTTTAAAGAACATAGTCTGCTTACGAAATTCCCCACAGCCAATCACAAGATGGCTGTGCATTCAGAACCGCCAAATCCGTGTACAAAAAATTCCCCCCATTATTTTAGCTTTTCACTTAATTTGTATAAATTCCATGCAATGAACATTTCTGTTTGACTGGATGTGTGGTCAAAAGTACAGCTCGCTTCGTGTGTGGATTAGAAAAAAAAAACTTCTCGTGAAGGAATCTCAGAAGTAGTTCTTTCACATCTGCTTCTGTGGGCCATTGCGCACTCCTCTGCGAGAGTTCTGAACGTACGCATCATCTCACGCCGCTATGATATCGACAGCACAACAACAATTGCTATGTACTTGAGAGAAATGACGGCCGGGTGCGCGAACGATGGTAATAATTACAATGACGTCAACTCGGTGATGCGCCGCACATTATTCACTCGCTCCCGATGAGAGAGAACAACTCGGCGGTGCGAGGAACCGCGGACAAGTGGGGAAGGCAGCAGCCAGGCGGCGAGAGCCGGGCACCAACAATTGCCCAAGCTCTGCAGTTCTTTTAATAGATGAAAGTGTTGTCGGCCAATGAATGACTGCTGACGTGTGGGATGAGATCGTAGCACTCTATGCCATTCTCCTGGCGAGCCAGGTTATGGCTCCTCCTCGACGCCCACGGGGAACGGGGAGTTTCCCAACGTGTGTGCGGTGATCCACCAACCTTCGCCTCCACGGTGCTGTAGTAGTAGGTTTTTACCCTTTTAAACTGGTACAAAACTGACACCTTTACGGTGCTGGTTTACAGGCGTGCGTAGCCACCGCCGCCCGGCTAACGACGACGGCGATTTTTCTTTCCCGTCGCGGTGCAGGCGAGACGGCGGACACGCTGATGGCGCTGCGCTACTGCAAGGAACGCGGGGCGCTGACGGTGGGCATCACCAACACGGTGGGCAGCTCCATCTGCCGCGAGACCGACTGCGGCGTCCACGTGAACGCGGGGCCCGAGATCGGCGTCGCCAGCACCAAGGTGCCTCGCCCTGCCCGACCCCCACCCACCCTGACCTTGCCCCCCCGCCCCTCCTCCCCTGCTACCCCCCCCCCCCCCGCCTGTGTTCTCGCCCGGCAAACATTGGGAGACCTAAGAAGGGGTCGTATTTTTAGAGGGGGGCGAGAGATGACCGAAGAGAGTAAATCGAGAGATGGTGAGGCAAGGGAAATGGGGACAAAACTAGAGACGTGGCGTCGTGAGAGGAGAGGTGTAAACAGAGGAGACATGGTGAAGTGGGAGAGGTTAATTACCATTTTATTTAAATTATCTTGTTTTAGTGATCAGGATTTGGTTCCGAGTGGATATTGGATGCACCCCTATCTTGTCATGAATCGCGGTGGGGGGGGGGGGGCCGCGGGGGGTGTGGTGCACCCTTGAGCTTTTTGGTACTCTAATAATTAACAATAGTGATAATTATTTACATTTGTAACGGCCGTTGAATCTGTATATCCCAATGCACCCATTTATGGAGTGCATAAAAAAAACAGAACTAATTTTAAAAAACACCCAGGGTGAACGGCCTGAGCTATGGGGGGTAAAGGTCAGTTTAAAGCGGTGAGTTTTTTCAAGAAAGACTCGCTCTCGTTATGCCTCGCACCACCACCACCACCACCTCTCCGTCAAGCTCTTGAGTGTAGGGAGCCACGTTGCCTTTCATGAACTCTGCCCCGCCTTGACCAAGCAACGTTCTCCCCGTTCCCCCCCCCCCCCCACCGCGGTCCCGGCAGGCGTACACCAGCCAGTTCGTGGCACTCGTGATGTTCGGCCTCATGATGAGCGAGGACCGCATCTCACTCCAGGAGCGCCGCAGGGAGATCATCAGCGCCATGCACGCGCTGCCAGGTGCGTCGTCGCAATCGCCTGCCCGCCACCGCGCCCTCCCTGCGGTCAGGGCCACCAGCAGGGCAGAGGCCACCACCACCACAAACGGCCCACGCCCATAGACGAGAGGACGGGGGTGGTAAACCAGTGGCTCTTAAGTCTAAAACTAAGCTAAACTGTTTTTTTATTTTACCAGGTAAGGCGCACTGAGCTATGTAGCTCTTTTTCGTAGCGACCACAAATGATAGCTCAACGAAGTGGCTTATCACGTGGATATTTATAGCAGCCGATATAATCTAAATGCATGTTGATTCTAAAATTTCGAGGGAAAAACCAGCGGAACCCAGAGAAAAAGCCACGTGACCACGGGGAGAACATGCAAACTCCAAATATACAGGTGTCACAATCGAAATCGAACCCACAACCCCCTTGTATACCAGTCGAGGTAGTTAACATCTCGCCACCGTGGCGCCCCGTGACTTCATTTCACGCACGGCCTACCACTTCGCAACGTCCTGCAAATGATGTTTACCCGTCGCTGCCACCGACCGTCTCGACCACCGGCCATCATCCATTCCAACAACAACTTACGTCTGTATTGTCCCCATACAGCGACAGAGCATCTCATTCACTCAAATAGGCCCTCCGACACGATGACAGACCCCTCTCTCTGTCGATGACGCTGCTGACGCTGCTGCCCGTGTGTGTGTGCGCGCGTGTCGTGGACACAGACCTGATCCGAGAGGTGCTGAGTCTCGACGAGAAGATGCTGGAGTTGTCTCAGGAGCTGTACCAGGAGCGCTCGCTGCTGGTCATGGGCCGTGGATACCACTACTCCACCTGCATGGAAGGAGCACTGGTAAAAGCAATGTTCGTTGTAGTAACACCAAATCCTGGTGAATGGCACTACGACCAAATCCTCAAATCACGGAGATAATGTGCCCGATCTCGCAATATCCCAGCTCAGCAGGCCTGAGCCTGGATCGTGCTTGGATGTTACCGGCTGCTGCAGGTGCAGATTGCGGGCAGCAGAGGGCAGTACGGGACCCCCCCTGGAGAATAGTCTTGAGACCCAGCAGGCTATCCTGGGTTAAATCTATGTTCTCAGTGTTTTTCCACCTCAGTAATTTAACTAAATCAGACTCTCACCGGGGATTCAAACTTGCACCCTTAGTTTGCGGCCTTAACCACAGCGTCACCAATTTGGATGGTGTTCGTCTGTGACCGTGGGGCCGTGGTGGCAAGATGTTCACTGCCTCACCTGGTATACAGGAGGTCGTCGGTTCGATGTCGACCCTGATGCCTGTATATTTGGAGTTTGCATGTTCTCCCCGTGGTCGCGTGGATTTGTCTCTGGGCTTATAGTATTTGACTGCTATGAATATACACCATAAGCTGCTTCGTCGAGCTATCATTTGCGATAGCCAGGTGAAAAAAGAGCTATGCTGCTTAGCGGGGCCTTACCTGGCAAAATAAAAAATAGCCTAGTTTATGTTGAACTTCTTTCGCGCCGCGCTTAGCCGACCGTGATAATCGGATGTGCCGCTGTACGTCCATGACACAACCCATGGTCGAATTGTTGCAGAAAATCAAGGAGATCACGTACATGCACTCGGAGGGCATCCTGGCGGGGGAGCTGAAGCACGGGCCCCTGGCGCTCATTGACAAGAACATGCCGGTCATCATGATCGCCATGAAGGACCCCACCTACATCAAGTGCCAGAATGCCCTGCAACAGGTGGTGGCCAGACAGGTGAGAGAGAGAGAGTCATCACACGCGCGTGTACTTGCGTCACGAGCGGCACCGCTGAAGCTGTGGCGGATGAGGCCTGATGGGCTCGTTTATATTTCGGTGAATCGAGCGAGGCTGTCATACACGCTTTGCGATTCGGGACGATGGGGGACAAACTCCAAACTGGAGCAGCGTGAGGGATCACGCAGAAAGAGAACTATCGCGACCGACTCCATGGGGGTTGGACAAGGTGCGGATGAGACGGAGCGGTCAGTGTGCGAGAAAGAGATGGCGATTTCGTCTACTTGCTGCACTGCCCTCTCCTGGCAAGGCAGGGTAGGCACCTTGACGCCCACGGGAAGCGGGAAGGGAGTTTCTCCGACACTTGTGCGTGATCCTTCAACCCTCACCTCCTCAGGGCTGGAATGCAGGCCATGTGCATAGCCACCACCGCCCGGTATCAATACTTGTTGTATTTGTGTTGAACTTCTCTCGCACCGTACGTAGCCAACCGCGCTAATTGGAGGTGCGGGGGAAGGACGCCAAACTAAACACAAAAAGCAGTTACAGAGAAATGAGTTTTCAAATCAGATTTAAAAGGTCATAGCTTCAGTGGCTTTGTAATTGCGGAAGTGAGAGCGTTCCAGACGGCCGCAGAAGCGCGTTCGATGGCCTAGCCAATTAGCAATGTACGAACGATTCGGAAAAAGCGGTGGTGACAACGAATGGCTCTTGTGCCGTGACCTCACAGGGCCGCCCCATCCTGCTGTGCGACAAGGGCGACGAGGAGATCGCCAAGCAGGCTTACCGCGTGGTGGGGCTCCCACACACGGTCGACTGCCTGCAGGGCATCCTCACCATCATCCCCCTGCAGCTGCTCTCCTTGCACCTCGCCAACCTGCGCGGATTCGACGTGAGTTGACATCCCTTCGGTCGTTCGTGTTTGCTTTCGTGCCGTCTGCTTGCTGCGATCGCCCCCGAAGGATGGGTCGGCTTCCTTCGATTAAACGCACGGCCTGCGTTGTCAAGCCGCTGCTGAGCGAGGGCCTCCACCCAGGCCGTACGGACTGGTAATTGCAACTAGCATCATCAGGCATGGCGTATGACACGCATTTTAATTGCGCTATCTGACCCAAACAAATCTATTATGAATCGTAACATCGGTCGCGGTGTTAAATTTGGCCTCCCCCCCACGATGTTTCGGTCTTGGTGGGCCTTTTTAACCATACTTCACCACGATGGTCAGTGCGGGTTTGTGAAGGCGTTGGGTGTGTCTGTGAAGGAGGGGGGGGGAGGTGCAGTAGATTTGGCTGCATTGTCATCGCCTGTTCACAACGCCCATGACACCTGTTCTATGCACGGTGGTGGTCGCCGATCCAAAATTAGCTTCTGAATTCTGATGGGATCAGGGACATTGCGGATGATTGACATCATCATCAGCATGACATCATCATCTCTCGTATTACTCGATATATTTCAGGATTTTTGTTCGTCCACCCACCATTGTGCTTCTAAGAATCCTTGTAATACCAGGGGTATTACAAGGTAATACCAGGGGTATTACAAGGATGGGCAATGTACCAAGACTCATGAAATAAAATAGCATTAGCGTTGCGTAATCAAAACATTAATTCACTAAAGTGGCATAATTATCTGCATGTGACAGCTGATAAATGTGGCCATGTTATTTATAGCAGTTGCATTTATTTTAATTAACATGTCTTTAAGTGGCATGCCAGTGCCGAGATAGAGCTAATTGCATCTCATGGGGATGGTGCAAGAATTTTTGGCATTTCTAGCCTGCAGAGTGATCAAATGCATTTCAGCACCATTCAAGAACGTGCAGGAAGGATTGGCTTTCTCAGTTCTAAATGGGGTCTAATTACATGCTGTGTTGTGACGCATACTTGACAGAGCAAACTTACCACTCTTGGCGACTAATTCATGCTATACCGGTCTATTTAAAATTTAAACTACTTATCTTCTGATACAAGAGTATCAGAATAGTAACACTTTGCATAAAAGCTACTTTCAAACTGCTGGTAATGCCAACAGCTTTCGGTCAGAATGGCAATAACCAAATGTTAATTCCTCTCGGATATTGCCTTTTAGCATCATCATCATAGTCGTCGCTGCTTTGGTGATAGCTACCATTATAAATGTGTGTCTGTACGCACACTTTAATGTTATCACTGGGTGGCATTCCTGACTTCCCTGAGCCAGCTGCTTTAGAGTTTAAGAAGGGTAGTGTCAACAATAGGCAGTGCAAGCCCGTCGGAATTGTGTAACAAGTGGAAGGGACTAAGTCGGTCGACCCATGGAAAACCCGGGTCTGTCCCGTGACCTTCTGCCAGCGGGCGTTCGACTTCACGTGGCCTTAACGCAGTGCACGTAGTCTGGTACAAGCGCCGTGGTGACGTCACCGCCACTGAGTGGCGAATGGCGTCGTCGGGGTTATTAAATAATTGTATTTTTTAAAACGGCGAGGAAAAATTAGGCAGCCATAGATGCCTTCGACCTCTGGTCGCCATTACCTCGGTTTTAAATTACCTTCTCGCATTGTCATGGCTTCTTAAACCTCTTAAAGCCCTTTAAACCTCCAAAAGCTCTTTGAGTGGACTGCAGTTGCTGTCCGTTCCGTGCCACGAGGTGGCAGTACAGCACGGTGTCTTACCAACCCTGACACTGGCGTTCACAGTTACAGGACCAACGAGGCATTTTGAAGGTCAAGCTTTATACCGTAACTAGCTTTACTACCCGGCTTCGCCCGGGACTTGGATTCTTGTGTTGGATTAATACACGGCCCGACACGGAGGGTTGGGGGGGGGGGTGCGTGACGTCAGCAGGCACACTGCTTGACGCTGCCGCATGCGGGTGACATCACAGATGTGACGTCACCGCTCACTTGCCGTGCAAAACATTACATGCATTCATCTTCTTGGTTCTTTCGGTAAAGTCACGTAGAAGGGAAGTAATAAAATAATAAAAATAAAACACAATATTTCTACGTGACTTTACCGAAAGAACCAAGAAGATGAATCCCTGCAGTCACGAAAGCTTTAAATCGAAAAATTACATGCATTATTGCGCCTTAGGATAGCTTACTAAAAAAAAGAGACCTCGATGCTGGTAAAACCAGGACAGGTGGCAACCCTATTCAGAACTCACCCCACTTTTACGTGGAATTGACGGGCTGATGCCTACCGATAGCAAGAGTGATTTGTTTTATATAAGTGTGCCATCTGACATCTGACATATACATAAAAAAAAACGCTGTGACATAACACACAAGTAGTAAATGGTGTCACAGCCAAGTTTTCGAGTTTGGCGTGTTGGAAAGAAATCTGATTAACCTGGCGAAAAACCCACCCACCCAAAAGCTCTGCACATTTGTGTTCAAGAATCCATTTCTGCACTGCCACGTCCTGGCCAAACTCTACTGACACCTGCTATTCCCAGACCGTCTCCCGTTCAAGTACTAAGCAGGCTTTAAAATCCCTGCTTAGCTTCCAAGATTGGAGGGAGAGAGCTGAGGGGCACTCGACCGGGGTCACACAAACATTGACATACTTGCAGCTGTGATGCATAGGAGGTGACATGCGGATGGGGGAGGAAATGGGATATGCCCCCTGTGCTGCAGGCGTCTCAGCCCAATTCAACAGTCACCGGTTTGTTTACTTGCAACAGATTCTTGAAATATCAGGATGCCAAACATAGTGGTGGGATGTGTGTCATTGTGTGTATTATATCATGGGGGAGCGGAAGTGTAGCGGTTAGCGCGCTGCGCTACGAAACTGGAGACCCGGATTCGATTCCCGCTCACGGTCAACACCAGTGACGATGATCTGAACCGGTCCTGGGCCTCCCCTATGTCGACTCAGCCTGAAATGAGTACCTGGTGCGGTGTGTAAAACATTGTCACTGGGGAGACAAAGGCGGTCGGGCGTGGTGCTGGCCACCCACCCCCTCGTGTACCGTTCTGGCCTTCATAGGTGCTCGCTAACAGCACTTGCCCCTACAGTCTGTTAAGGTTATACGGGGGATCTTTATCTTTTTTATATAATGGGGAGCGGTAGTGTAGCGGTTAGCGCGCTGCGCTACGAACCTGGCGACCTGGGTTCGATTCCCGCTCACGGCCAACACCAGTGACGATTATCTGAACCGGTCCTGGGCTTCCCCTAGGTCGACTCATCCTCAAATGAGCACCTGGTGCGCGATGTGTGAACATAGCCACTGGGGAGACAAAGGTGGCTTGGCATGGTATTGGCTACCGACCCCCCTCGTGTACCGTGTCGGCCTTCATAGGTGCTCGCAAATGGTATTTGCCCAGCAGTCTTGTCAAGGCTATACGGGGGAACTTTGTCTTTGTGTATATGCATGGTGGCACAGTGGTTACCGCACTGCGTTACGGACATAGCGACCTGGCCTTATATTCCCACCCACGGCTCACATCAGTGGCAAAGTAATATCTGAACCAGCCTCAGCCTTAAATGAGTAACCTGGTGCAACAAAAAAAACACGTGTAAGACGTCAGTACTGAGGGAGACAAACGCAGGCGATCCACGGTGCAGCGCTGTTCGTGAATGTGTCGAGAGGTTTTTGTTGTTGGAGTATTATTATTTGTGCATGTGACCCACTGCCAATGTGGTTGTCACGAACCACAATCGTCTCCTACATTTTGACCGGCAGTGCCGATTGCTGGCGACGGGGCATTAAAACTCAGTTGCTTGTTCTTTTTTTTTGCCGTGGTAAAACATTTTTTTTTTTGCCGCGGTCAAAATTATTATTTTTGTCGTTCGACCGTAGGCTACGTTGTGTGCGCACCAGAGGTCGCAAACGGGTTTTGATTCCTTACCCGTACCCGGCCGCACCAGGGTCGCAAATGGGTACCCGTACCCGGCCTGGTACGGGTACCCGTTCCCTACCCATACCCGTACCCTACCCTACCCGAAATGAGTGACAAACGGTTACTCACCAGTGACTCACGGCCTACCCGTACTCGGGCGCACCAGGGTCGCAAACGGCTACCCGTACCCGTACCTGGCCGGGTACGGGTAGCAGGGTATCGGGTAGGGTACGGGTATCGGGTACCCGGTTGCGACCTCTGGTGCGCACGTGCGAGCTCCGCGGTCTAACTTTCGCACAGCCACCTTCTCGCACCCCTTTCTTCTGAACCCCATCCCCTCCCTCCCCCGCTTCAGTCACTGTGCTGCCGTCTATCCTTCAGCGCTGCAGAGGCACAGTCGGTGGTCCTCCTTTTAACGGGGAGCCAATAAATCTGAGCGGGAGATGAGAGAGAGACACCACTGGGAATCCGAGAGGGAAAGCGATGCTTGAGGCAGACTCCCTGATGATGGGGAACTTCCTATCAAACACCAGTGGTCTGCTGCTGCTTGCACTCCTTTCAAGTTCCAGATGCAGCATTTAGTTATTGATTTACTATTTGTTGTTTTTAATTATTTCTTCATCAAAAGAATCAAAAGGCTTGAAGCAGCGTCGCCGTCCTCAAACAAACATTGGCGGGGTGCTTATTTGTCTTGCCACCAAGTCGTGGCATTTCCACATTCTGCAAAAGCCAACCACTGGGTTCAAATATATATATACCACCAATTGACATTCATATCATCAAACCCTAAAGGGCTGAGTCGATCCCTGACTGGAAATGGAAATCGTAACCTTACAATGTGACTCAAGTGCTCACGGTTCACCAATGCAACACGACAATAACGAGGCAATGTCAGTGGTTCTGCACTGTTATCTTTGGAACTATTTCCCAGCGTCACTTGGTGCAACACCACTGCTCAGGAATCGCCGGCTTAGAACGTAAAACATTTTTGCCAGTTCTCCGATTGTGTTTTTGGGTTGTTACCGCGTGCCGATCGGCACGATGACCGTCGTTTCACTCCACGAGCTGGGAGAAGCTCCCACCACGTGGCCACGAAACATCAAACGTCGTGCAAAACCACACGCGGTAGAACCCGAAAACACTACGGAGGGCTATACGTACAACGGCACAAGCGCGAAAAAACCTACACCGTAATATCAGTTGCTGAGAGACATTACCATTGTAGGAACCCTAGCACCGCGTTTAACGTGTAATGTACGCCTGCTCAAACAATGTCTCCCATTCTGCGTGTAGGTGGACTGTCCAAGGAACTTGGCCAAGTCTGTGACCGTGGAATGAAGCATGGGACCCCCTGGAACATCACCGCTCCCTCCCCGTCCAGACATTCGCCGTGGCAAGCATTGAAAGTGCCTCCCCACGTGATTTATTTTGGTGCAGCTTTAAATGGCTTAAAGGCCCTCTCCGGGACGTTTCTGGAGGTTGCATCACGGCATTCGGAGAGTTACCATCTGCTAGGAGGGAGCAAAAAAATTCAGCTTCCATAACTCACCGGGCCACAAAGCCCACGAATGTATTTTGTTTTTACTTTTTTTTTGTTACACTATCCTGTGGTAGAAAAAAATCCTGACTTCGAGAGTGTTCGTGAAATAGATAACATTCATAAATTGTGGAGGTTAATTAGAAACTCAGCATTGTACATCAGGAAGTTATGGAAGGAAATTTTACATCAGAAAAATATTTTTTGTCGAATGACACCAATGCTGAATGGCCAAATCCTGATGGTGAATTAGGGTGACAATCTTGCGTGAATTACAATACACGTAGCTTTCTAATTAGGCAAGTTTTTCTTTACGTTCCAAATGATATGCAACTACAATAGCAGGAGCATCATCTATCGGGTGCAGTGTGTACTGGTCACAAACATTAACAAACCTCTATACGACAAACACATTTTATTGGCCAGTCGACCAAAACGAAGCTTACAAGCATGCTGAAGAATGCTAAATTAAGTTGAGAGTGTATTTGCAATTTTACAGTTTTATTTATTTTATTTAAACTAAATAATGATTTTCCACCGCTTGCTATATCGCTCTAAAAGTCAAAAGTGGACGGGCGGCATGAGATGAAAACTCATCGATGTTGAATTCATCCAACCGCTGTCCATTTACACACCCCGACACCACCCATCGCCAGATGCTCGTGCTTAAAATGCTAATGCCCCCTTCGCTGGGCACGTTCAGTCCTCCTGCATTACAATCGCTTGTTTCTCGTTTTTATAAATTCACAATAGTTGTTTGGGGGGGGGGGGGAATAGGCTATGAAATTGGTATCAATCAACGGATGTAGAGAAACGCGTTCAACCACCGTCAGCGGACAAAGCTTCAGCGTCGACAGCACTGTGGATTGCTTAAGCCGAGCATAAGCTGCACACAACTTTGTAGCCATCAAATTGGACAAGTCTCTTGGTTTTTTGTATCTTGCCCCCCCCCACCACCCATTCTGCTTTTAAATATGCATACGCGAATGCTTGAGCCAACAGGACAAGTTGCTCGATTGCAAAGAGCACAACAGATGTTGGGGTCACCCAGACACACGTCCACAATGACCCTAATCTATTCAAAGCTTCTGCAGTGCCTTTCCTATGGATGCGTTTTAAAGGCCACAAAGGGGACTTGTGCCTGAAGGAGGTGGGTAGGCGTGGAGTCATTTCATCCGTTGATGCATTATTCAGATCTCTTGAAATGTATTTACCATTCCATTGAGCCAAACTTTATAGAACAATGGGCGGGGGGAGGGGGGGAGAGAAAATTTATAGGAATTGTAGATCTCTTTTTAACTCAACAGTGTGTTTGTGCAGGCCAATTGTCGATGGGGTTAACCTGCAAAATTAGTGGGATTTAGATTATGCGATACGGTGGTACACTTTTAATTTCCCCGTCGTTGTGAACAACTTTATTCCGACCTCAGTAATTCAACCATCCGAAGCTCCATCGAGATTCATTGTCATTTGTAGGGGGGAACTTTTGTGAGAATAGGTATGTTGGGAAAGTATTTTTTACATATATCTTTAGTCCTGTATAAAATTAAAACATTTGGGCTTTGGCTTGACATCAGTGTACAATACCCTGACCTTGTAAATAATAAAGGTGATATGAATTCTGACGTCAAAGGCTCTCCTCGCTGAAATGAGAAATGTGGTGGTCATCCGTTGGCAATCTAGAGGCGGTGGTGGAATTTCCACTTTCTTGTGGCAGGGGATGTTTCGCCATATGACAACCGCCGTCAACTTTGCAAAAATTGGGATCGTATCAACCGCAGAAGTACGACGGGCCGAGTTCGTCACTACGGCTGGGATTTGAACTCCCATCCTTCTCATTCAAGAGTCGAGGGCTCTAATCGCAGCGCAACCTGGCCGGATGAATTGCAATAGTCGAGGTTTCACCATGAAAAGCTTTCTAATGAAGTTTTGTCAATTGATTTTTTTTTAGATTTGCCTTGAGAGAATAACCTGATACAAATGTTGTCCAACCAAGCACTTTTTAAAGTCCTCTTGTTATTTTACAGATGTTGATCCTTGCATTGTGATGTATTTTTTTTAAATTAGAGAACCATATTGTAGGATTTAACTCAAAATATTTAATGCAATTAATATACATTAATTTTGCATGTTACTTATAACGTTGTAAATTTGTAAAAGTTAGTATTAAAGTAACAATTATGTTAACCTTTATATTGTCATTGTTTCTTGACCCAGGATGGAATTATTAAAAGCCTGAAAGTGCCTTAGTTGAACAAATAATTTGGTTATCCATCCCTTTGTGAATATTACAAGATCCACTTTTGTAAGAAAAACAAAGTGACATTTGCTTTAAATGGGTGGCGGCGGTGTTGTTTTGTTAATACTTTATGCTTGGGACCAAATTGAATTTACATTTGAGTGCAATACAAATTTAAAGTGCAAACGTTTCTGCACGCTAAGAGCTGGAAATATCCGTTTTTTTTTGTTCGAAGAAATGTGAATATTGTTATTACATACGCTGCAATCATAACAAGTACAGGAATAAAAAGACTCAATCCACGCTTCTCTTCTTGTCCGTAGATCCTTACCATTTGTTTTTTGCCCACGGTCGGCGAAAATCCAAACTCCGAGCAATTTTTTTAAGGAGTTGTTACATCGATAAAAACTGTTCCCCCACACGCGATTCAAATGCGTGAAAAATGTGAAATTTAAGAGTTTTTCATTTAAGAGTTTTTCGTTTAAGCGGCCGAAAAGGAAAAAAAAATGTACTGCTATTCTCCACAACTTTCTGGGAGTTTATTTTGTGGTGGAGGTGTTTTTTTTTTAATGACGGTGTATCGCAGATGAGATGATCCGCAAATAGCATCCCCCCAAACAGACGCGGATTACGGGAGTTGTACTGCATATCTGCCAATAGCAAGGGGAGCTTTGTGATTTCATGTTTAAAATTAACACCACACAATCACCGTTATCAATCCTTTAATACTGGCCTTAAACGTATGAACATCTATGTTGCCAAGTCCAATTGATTTCCAGCTTTGATGGGTTTGGTGTTTTTTTATTACTTTTTATGTTCTTTATATTTGTAATATTTAAATGTAGACATTTTTGTCTCGTACAATTGTTCAATAAAGCATTTTTTTGAGACTGGAAATCATGTGTTGTCGCGTCGTAAAGAAGGTGCCAGCTGATTGAAAAGTTTGACCTATTCAGCATCGGCTGGATGACAGTGCGTACGAGGTGGCATCTCATCGCTCCTCGTCAGGGCACGTCCTCTCGCACAATCCCGCCCGCTTAAAGTGCCACTCCATCAATATTCGAACAAAAAAACATGACTGTACATCATGGTTTAACAAGCTATATTTGAGGGAGATAAAAGGTGCAACAAAAACACTCAGATGTATATTGAACTTATTTCGCATCGTATGTAGCCATGCGTGCAAATCGGAAGGGCAACACTCACAAAAAGCAGTTGTAAAGAAATTAGTTTTCAATCTAGGTGATTTAAAAGTGCACAGCTGCAGTAGATTCCTAATATCGGAAGAGCGTTCCAGACGGCCTCAGAAGTGCATTCGGAAGCGTGCCATGCAGTGACCGTCTTTGTTCGATGGCTAGCCAAAAGCCACTGCTACGAGGATGACCGAGATCTCTTGATGGTTTATGATCCTTGACGAGATCAACGAGGTGTGTTGTGGGTAATTTGTGACAAGCACTTTGTGTGTCATGAGTGTGTGACGATATATATATGATTTAAAATCGTTCACTTTATTTCTGTAAAGAAAAGCTACATTAAAACATTTCAATTGAATGTTTCCTTTAGATTTTTATAAAGACCCACGGAACTAATGTGCAAAATTCATTACAATAAAATATATATATTGAACGGGTTTTTATTGGGTATGGAAAAAAAAATATTGGCCAAAATCTGCTTGCATTCCTACATAGCTTTCTTTAAATTAATAATGCAAATAATGAACGTGATAGTCTTCTAATATATATAAAAAAAATTAAGGTTTATATTTTGGGCAGGAAGTTTTACGGGGAAAAATATTGTTGTTTTTTGTGTGTGTGGGGGGGGGGGTGCGTAATTCGTTTATAAGTTGTCTTCATACTTTTAAAAAGAAAACTCAAATAATGAATACACACTTGCAAATTGTAAGCTGTAAGGAAGTAAAACAATTGGCATGATTTCTCGTCGAGAATTATTTTAACTTTCAAATGCACGCTTGATCAATGCACAAGCAGTGTCACATTTTAGCATGTATATTTTTTTTGTTCAGATATATCCATAATTTTTATGGAAACAAATCACTATGTATGTTAAAGTGTTGAAGCTTAAATTAAACTACGGAAATATGTTGGCATGATCTTTTGTGGAAAAGACAAGACTCGCTAAATTATGGCTGGAATGTGGTCGTATTTAACTTATAGTTTTTTGCTTAAAATAAATAATAAATACGTTCCATGCTCATGTGTTGGAACATTTTGGTGTTAGCACATATGGAAAATAATGCCAGTTTTAGCTTACATTTGTCATGAAATGTTCTAGGAATGTTTTTTAATAAAAGCCACAATAAATTCACGTCTATAAAAATAAACTAACTTAAAATAAAACTGGCACATTTTAAATCATTTTTTTTACACGGCATACATTCGAGACCCGACAAATAGCACAAAAACAATATTTTGCTTAAACTATGGACACCGACGCATCTCGTTTTAATTTCCAATACCGAACCATCGAATGAAGTTTCCAAACATAGGATGCCCTTCCAAATGGAGGGGGGAAAAAAACTGCAGACACAAGTTGAATATTTTCAAAGATATTTATAATTACATTGAAAATAAATAGCAAATAGCTTCAAGAAGAGGAATAGAGAGGCAGCAGTGTTTTGTCTTTCATAAACCAAAAAGCATTCCAGCACCAAATTCACCAGAGTTATTAAAGTATAACAGCGCTTGACACCACCTGGCACATTGGAAGATGTTGCAGGATTTAAAGAGCTGCAATTACACCGATATAACCACCACAATTGTCCATTTCCTTATCACGATGATTGCTCTTCCCAACAATACACCAACTGTATGTTTTTATAACATGACCCAATACACTAAGTTTATTAATTTTTTAAACCTTTGTTTTGTTGACAACATACTACAAAAAGCTTACCATCTTAATCAGCATTGTTAGACTGCACCGAGCACCACACCACAACCCTAAACAATAACCAAACAGCAGTCATGCACACGTTGCTTACCTACCTACGATATTGTAGATTCATGCCCATGTGGCTGATGTTTAGTATTCATTACTGAGGCTCTGTTATCATTGTGTAGCAGGGTGTCTCTTATCAAGTAGATGGATGACCTAAACAGGCTATTCAACAAAATATACACATAAAGTATTATTGTGTGACTCTGTCTTTAAGATAAAAGGCGTTTTAATAAGTGCAAACCGCAAACTGTTAAAATTTGATACCTCTGCAAATAACTTTATTTTTTGAAACTTACAATTCATTTACAGTATATACTCACAACACAGGGGGATGTACATAATCCGTGCCATATATTTTTTGTTCGAAAAACCACCAAAAACAGTTCCAAGAATTTCCACCACAGTGCACTTCTCTTAAGTAATTAGGGCGCGCCTGCATTTTCTTCTGCACTTGATCTTTACAAACCTGGCTAGGGGCATCCCGCAGCTTGGTAACTCAACATGGTTCTATTTGCCATGGCCTGGACGCATGCCACCGCTTGTCCAAAATTTTGGAACGAGCCACCCGAAATGAAAATTTCCTCAAGGGGCTAAGAATTTCTCTCCCTGGACGAAGACGCACACACGTGGGGCCGAACGATGAACCAGACGAGACATTACGTTTGTACCTCGCATGCTGGAAATACCACAATACAAGGAGGGGGGGAGGGGTTGTTTGTGTTTTTCTTCTCATAATATTCAGGATTTTACAGAGACATACAAAACACACATTTATAGGTGCCACACCAAGTTGTAACTTGAATATAATGTTATTCATATATTCATTTTTATCATTGATGTATCCACCAAGTATAAGGGCTAAAATACCAGATGGGTCGTTGAAGACCAATACAGGTTCTGTGTAAAACAATAAAGTAATATTTTTTTGATAGCTACAAGATGAAAATGTTGCTCAACAACACAGATTGGAACTTTTTTTGTTAAAATACATTTCATTCATACCACTTTGTTGAATCTTCCAAACAATTACACACTTCAAAACCGAGGTTATACTTTCGATACTGAATTTCAAGTACAATGTATATATGTAGTGTTTTGTTTTTACTTTAGAACCCAGTTCGTCCTGAAAAACAATAGCTGTGCCATGTAAAGAAAATTATGGCGGGGGGCTTGCGAGTTTAAAAGTTTTAAATTTGCCTGCGCCATTATTGGCTGAGCAAACGAGCCTTGTGAAATGATCGAAAACGAAGACTTAATAATCACTGGGAAAATGAAAAGCAATGCAAGATCACCAGCCGTGTGAGTTTTAAAAATAAATGTGTTGCCGCTCGGACGAGGAGAGCGTTTGGATCCTCTGCAGAGCCCCAAGGGGGGCTTTCGTCGATTCGAGCGGACACGGGGGTGGCGAGCTTCGAAGCTCTAAATAAAGTACAAAGGTAACGATCCCTCTCTGCGGCCGCACCAAAGCGGCCGAGACATCTACACGTCGCTAAATCCATAGTCATGGAGATTAGGAGCCCATCAATGTCAAATGCGAGGCCATTAGGTGTAATTGTGGCAATTAAGTAATAAATCAAGGGTGCCTTTCTCCCCCCGCCTCCAATGCTTTAGAAAAAAAAAACTAAATAAGAAGCAGCTCACGCCACACAGAACAGTTTGTGTGACAAGGCCAACAAAAGGCTGTTGGGCTCTGCCAAGAGGCCTGGCCGAGGTGATCGGGTCAGTGGATACGTGTTCTGAATGGATAGTGGCACGGTCTGCTCCTTAATCCTGCCCAGCTTGCGAGAGAGTGGGGGGTGGGAGGCCCACTTCGCAGCCATCACCGGGGTCCACAGAGAAATCTGCATAAGCACCAAAAATCCCTTTCGCTGAAGCGCACATTGCCCGCTCGGGAGATGCGTCGACTGTACGTGGAGCGCACGCAACGCTTACGCACCGTCACATTTCGTGCGAAAACGAACGCAGCATTCGCGCTGAACGGGCGAGTGGTGCTTCCGCAGATTTCTAACGCCCCCCCCCCCCATCTCGGCCCTGTATCACGCTGAGAAGAAAAGCTGTTGAGGACGGTCAAAACAGCACTGGGCCGAGAGCGAGCAGATGGTTAAACAGTTGGCAATGCGTTCTCAGGAGCGGGCGCAAATCGGATTATTCCAAGCAGTTTAGCACTTTGTCTGACCTCCCCTCTGCGATCAGCTATGGACATTGGTAATACTGTGCACATCTATGCATAGGCTTAGAAATGCGAGCAATATAAAAGCCATCCGAGAAAGGCGCGAGTGGTAAGGGAGTGAATGTAGAGGCATTCATTGCCGAGCCGATACGGCATTGTCGTGCCACGGCGAATCTAAAGGCATTTCTAAAGCACGTTTGTGGTTCATTGAGGCCATGTGAAGCACATCAATGTGATCAAGGCCTCAACTGCGCTGGAGTGTAGATGTTATACTTAATATAGCCACAAAGCCCCTCCTTGAGACTAATTTTACTTTTCCAAAGCAAAGCTTTACTAATATTTAAATGCGCTACCTGAGCTTACGTTAAGACAGCCGCTTACGAAAAATAAAAAAAACTTATAGAAAAGTACCTCCGACTGCAATTAGGAACTGTAAGGCCTTATTATTATTATTTTTGTTTAATAACTGAAAGCCCGAGAAGGTTAACCACGTAAAATGATATTTAAAAAAATCATTTCAGAATATACCATATTGTTCTACAATATGGTGCATCCCGTTACATTGATTATAAAATAAATGTACAAAAAACAACATACTGAAAAGAATGTATGACTATAGCCTGCATCGATCAACTTCTATTACCACTTATGTAATTTCATAATTTAATTGTTGGTCCATTATAATTGCAAAGCCTATTGTGTTTTGTGCCTGAAAGTGCTGCCACACAATTTCCAATTTGGCTCAAGCATTGCATCAAATATTAAAGCCACATTATTTATGGCTTAGTACAACAACAACAACAAAAACACATGCGATTTACAATTTAGTTTTACAAACTGGGAAAAGTGTTGTGAGCGATCAAATATGAAGCCCCGCACAACAGGATGGAGAATGGTTGTGGGCTTATACCGCGCAGCGCACGGCCACGCATGGAGTTTATCTCCCAGGTCCTACAACTCGTGTTCACGTGCAACGTGGCCAGGACTCAAAACTTGAAGTTACGGGGGGGGGGGGGGGTGGTGGGAATCACTGCTCAGCGAGCACCACTCACAACACTAAACTAAACGATGGTTTAGTTTTATTTCACCAGGTAAGGCCCACTGAGCTATGTAGCTCTCAGAAGCGACCTGGCCACAAATGATAGCTCAACGAAGTGGCTTATCAAGTGGAAATTTATAGCAGGAAAATATTCTACATGCACGTCGAGTAAAAATGTGGAGGGGAAAAACCCGAGGACCGGGAGAAAACTCCACGAGATCACAGGGAGAGAAACAGGCAGACTCCAAAATATACAGGCATCAGGGTCAAGATGAACCCACAACCTCCTGTATACCAGGTGAGGGAGATCACATCTCGCCATTGTGGCGACATGTCACCAGCGGTATGATGCGGCTTTGCAGAGGCATACAAAAAGTAATGTGTTTGCAGCAGGCTATAGTCATGTCCATTTTCTCCCCACATAGAAATTATGGCCAAACAATAAAACAAAAAATGCCTTTACAGCGTTCGTCTCAATGACCTGCAGAGACTAGTCATGTACCCCTCCTTTGTTTGCCAACCACATTCAAAAGCACCACCACCACCACCTATCCCGTGACCACGAGCACCATCATCCGCCTCCCTTTAATGCACTCTGACGCCACTAAAGGCCCAACGGACACACGCGGCGATTTTTACACGGTGGCCCGAAGGTAATGATCACGATAAGCCTTGCATCTTTGCCGAACTTTCAGCCTGCGAATCCCCGACGTCAAGTACGGTTCACCCTGTCCGTTGTTCCGAATAGCTCTTATCGGCTATCAATTACGGCAAGAGCAAAGTGACAAACGCTTGGCATGGTATTTTGGACGGGGTAGGTCGGCAATTACTGAGAAATTACATCTACCTTAACGGACCCATCCCCGACCACTTCTGATGCGGGTGAAATTAAACTAAACAATTTTTTATTTGACCAGGTAAGGCCCACTGAGCTATACTCTTTTTCAGAATCGACCTGGCCACAAAGGATAACTCGACAGAGTGGCCCAATGGCAGCCGAGTTTGAATCAATTTTCCCGGGACGAAAAAGTTTGTTCAAAAGCATTTAACGTTGCGCATAGCCCTGTACAGGGCTTGCACCACTCGATAATTTTTTCCCAAACGTTTGCTATATTTGAATTGTAACTAGATTTGGAAATGACAAAACAGCTCTTTGCAGGACTCTCTTGATGACTGTATGCTCTACTTACTCTGCAGCCCGTTCAGAGCCTGACGCAGAGACGGTGTTCCGATTGAGTCCACACACCGGTTAATGACTGGCAAGTACAGATCCACCAAAACAGGAGAACATTTACCTACACTTTTCACGAGATATGATTTTTTTTGGGATGGACTGTGTATTGACAAATGTTATTATAGTGCTTATCTTCAGTGTCCTTGATGGGCCTGTGCTATTGATGTGTTAGCTTGTGCTGAATTACAGTTGTTATTAGGGCCATTGTTTATCATGCAAACCACAGTGCAGAGAAGGGCACGTTGAGCATCAGACAAAACCTTGGCAACTAACAACAATATGTAAGGTGTATTGGACCATGGGGGAAAGGTAAAAAAAAAAAAATCACAAAAGTGAAAAATCTATTCACCACTTAAAATTTAAAACCCGCGAATCAGTCTGCCAAACCGATGCACATTGCCCGCTCTCCGACGGAGCTTGTTAGGAATTGTGAATATTTCCCACGGATTCAGTGCGGCCAAAAAAACACTCAACATTCCACCTTAAAATGCACAGTAAATCATTGGCATTTGTCTCTCTACCAGTGCACTTTACTTTCGTTGCTACCCTTCCAGCCGATGGGGATCGCTGCCAACTGGAGGAGACGTTCGCCCCTCGCGAGTCGCCAGGAGGCCACCGTACAACACCGTCGAGACGGCACCGACCAGGACCCTCGCTCACCACACCACGAGCGGCCGCCCGCCAACGCTCACGCGCGCTGCTGCGGCAGTGTCGGCTTGGGGGGCGGCCGCGAAGGCGGCGGCGCCCGGGACGACGGCGGCGGCGCCGGAGGAAGCCGCGTCGGGGAGCCGGCGAGCGCCGGCGGCGCCGCCGCCGGACCGGGGGCGGCGCGCGTCGGCACGGGCGGCAGCGGCTGCCGCGGCGGGGGAGGCCCCGGGCTCGCGGGGGCGGCCGCGGGCACCGGCGGGGGTGGCAGAGGCTGCGAGGGCACGGACGGCGGACGCGATGAGCGCACGCTGCCGCAGGTGCTGCCGGTTCCGCTGCTGCTGCGAGCGCTGCCGTTCCGCTGGGGGGCCCGCGCGGGCGGTGGAGCGGAGGTCTCGGATTTGACGCGCGTGAAGTTGATGCATCGGCCCTGCGTTGCACGGCACGGCAAAATGTAAATCGAGCAGAGTTATTCGATGATGATGATGATAGGTCTTCCGTTGTGCCAGTTGTCGTGCCTCTTCCGCTGGGTGTTTCAGAGTCATCGAGTTCATGGGTTTCCCTCCTATTGTCTCTCTTTCCCCCCCGAGTTCTTTAACCTTGCTCGATTCAAGAAATGTAATAACTCTTATGTATTACACCTTTGTTGCTGGCCGTTTGGCATTCAAGGCTTTTGGGCCAGTGGCCAGCAACCGTGATCTGCACTCCACCAATAATCACGATTCTTGTTTCATTGCACAATATTAATCATTAATTGGCAATAACGAAAAGAGGTATTTTAAAAGTACGAGAAAGCACAGCGGTGACTTTCAGTTTGAATTAATTTCACAATTCACTTACAACTCAATAATTCAAATAATTGTATGTGTGTGTGTGGATAAACGTTTATTAAAACAAATTAATATCTACATTCAAAATAAAATGTATTTCACTGGGAAACTATGAAGCCTAATTTCATACAACTATGCAACATTCCTCGCAATTATTCTTGAAAATGACTGCAATGTAAATATAAAAGGTTGAACATTTCCATCCAACGTTATTAAATCACTCTTAAGAGCACTTGGCACAAGAAAGGGACCAGGCTCCCTGGCAGAAGCTGTGCTGGCTCAGATAAACATAAAATTCCCTTTTTTTAAATTAAAATAAACCTTCGACTGCCATGCAGTGGAAAAGCCAGGTTTCTAAGGCTTTGGTTCCAAGGCTCACGATGCTGACCCATAGCCATACCTAAGACGAAATCCCTCTGAAGTTAAGGTGTGGTGCCATTTCACATGCGATGTCTTGAAATGCTATTGAATGTAGACACTAAAAAATATAATTTTCACAGTCAAATTAAGTCAACCGACTTCTGGATGAAAGCATCCCACAGCTTCGTCGGTCACGGAGGTTGCTTGACAATACTTCACAAAGCTGGTCACAGTGTGAGTTGGTAAAGGAGGGCCCACAACCGGTTCAAATATTGCTTGCCACTGATACAAGCCGTGGCCGGGAATCAAAGTCAGCAACTTGGTATGGGAGTGCAGATTGCTTAGCATAGCTCCATTCCGTTTAATCACTATAAAAACTGTTTTACCTGTGCCACACCACGGGGAAGCAAGAGTACCGTCGAGGATACAATGAATGTAAAAAGAAAAAGGAATGGGAAAGGGATGCCAGGACGGAAGTCCCCAAGACGGACAAAGAGGGTAAGGTTTCAAGTTGAGCAGGAGGGGAGGGGAGGGGAGGTGGAGGGGAGGGGCGCTGGACAGGTGAGGAGAGGGAGCAGGAATGATCGGCCAAATATGTTGGGGATGAGATTAGAGGGGAGGGGCAGAAAGGGAGAGAGAAGCAAGGAGCGAGCAGACGTCAAATGCACGGAGGAGCAGCGTCTGTTTCTACAGGGGGTGGGGCAAGGGGAGGGGGGATTCAGAGTGGGGGTGGCCACACAGAAGTGACGTCCTTCAAGGGAGGCTTGTGCCAATTAACATCGAGTAATACGGCAAATGTTATTATAAATATAGTGTGAAGTTATAATGATGATGGTGCTATTTGTTTACCCAGGAAAGCCATAGAGTATGAAACCTCTATGAAAAAGGGTCCTGCATTGCGGTGTTTTTACCAATTCCATTTTTGATGGATAAGCATGTGGGAGGACCATGCAGCATGGCTAGAAAGCTAACAGTTGACTCAAATAATACTGTCGAGTCAATGCTTCAGAAACACCCACTAAGATAGGATTTTAAAATGCATGTTTTGTTTATGTAACTTCATAATGGTTATCATATCTAGGGAAATGTGGCAAATATAAGATCTCGGAAAATTCTTAAGAATTTAGGTTTGGCTCCATTATGGAGTAAAAATCACTTCCGTTACTGTATCACGCACACATGTACTCGTACCACAATTTAACGTAATCAGCGGTCCCTGGGGCATGAAAAGTAAACAAGAGATTCAGCCTGAGGGCTGCAATGGCCATAGAAGGCTTTGGCGACAACAACAAAAAACTTTCGAAGTTTGAGTGTGGGAATTGGTTTCAATTACCCCGCTAGGTTGCGCATAGTAGTGCCATTGGACCGCATGTGTGGCCATCCTCCATCCCTCCGTGACGGTAAATACTTGGAAGAGAAAAAAAATACTAAAAACTGTAAACCCAGTGAAGCGTATTAAATCTCCATACGGTATTTTTTAAGGGTCAAAGCCAGATTTCCAATTACTTGGTTTAGAAATGAGCGAGATGCTGCCTATTGGTAAAGGTGGATCCCAGGAATATTTTTGTCATGCCACTGCTCCAGAGAACTCCCTCTAGAGCGGTGGTGCTCTGAGAGTGTGCGGACCAGGTTACCACCGTCCAGCGGTCCGCAACGGTTCCTCCACGTGGTTTCGCGGTGGCTGCGATGCAAACGCAGGTTTCTCCAGACAATAATGACAACGTATGATTATACCTTTTGTTTTGGACATTCATTCATATTTTACTTCTATTGATTTTTTTTTATTAAGTTAGGTAAACTACCCGGATTAAATCCCCCTAACTCTAAGATCTGAATGCCACCCCCTGAGAAAAAGTCTTAAGAGCAGCATTTCTATGTTCCGGTAATATGAATTATTTTACATTACTGCCATTTAGAGATAAGAAAATGCGTTCTGTTACCAGGAGTGGTGGGAGTTTGGTTGGTCTGCGGAAATGTTTGCATCGGCCGAGTGATCCGCGGGCCCAAGAAAGTTTGGGAAACGCTGCACCTCGAGGGCCAATATGCCGACTCTCCCATGCTGCTTGGACGTCTTGGAAGAGGTGGGCGTACCCACACTTTGCCCCAACACACGCGGCCTACCGAGCGACCGACTGTGGTGAAGCCGTTAATACTGTTCGGTGGACAGCGGTGGAGGGGTTGAAAAGAAACGTGTGACCACAGAGCTGTTGAGTGGGGTAACGTGGACATCCATAATAAACACCTCATTTGCACCTGCTGGCTTTGACATTCCTCCTCTTCGAAGACACTGGCACAACCATCAACCGCATCAGAACATCAACAACAGGCCGATGCACACATCTCCTTCAGAAATAGATCATTAAAGACAAGCCACAGTGTAGTTGTGGGTCATGCAACCCAAACTATGGACTATCCGGTAAACCACTGTAGCCTGCACTCATTCCATCGAGAAATAGCAAAACTATCTCTCCTGAAGTAATCTACTAGCTAGCAAACCTCGACTGGCATTTGGTCTTGGTTCTTTCGGTAAAGTCACGTAGACTTTACCGAAATAACCAAGAATATGAATCCATGCAGTCACGAAAGCTTTAAATTGAAATGGCATTTGGCTCCTGAACACATTGAACAGTGGAGTGAGAACAAGGACTATCATGGACCTGCATACACGGTCTCCCAAATAAAGTAACTAAGCCACTAGGTTTGAACGGCCAGATATAAATGCAGCACATGGATGCTAAACCAATTTCCTTGCAGGGTTCCTGCGAGTATCCCAAAGGGCATCATTTGCCAAGACGGGCGAGTACATTCCTGGTCACTCCTCCAAGGGGACTCTCAGGTTACAGTACATGTAATGACATCCTGAAGTTTGCTCAACCTTGTTTTGCTCCAAATCTGTCACGTGCAGGCGAGATCATCATTTGGTGCAGTGTGGCTGCTTGAGACGGATTTGCAACAAATGCTTTCACTCTGCTGCTGTGTAGAACAGAGTCAATTCAATTGATCTCAGAGGTAGGTCTGCGATATCCGCTTCAGTGGGCCATTCTCCAACCGAAAAGGAATGCACTGCTCAGTGAGACAACCTCATCGATACCGTCTCGTGACAGGACACCACTAACAAAATTGGGAAAAATTGAGGAACAATGAAAAACTAAAACATAAAATATACAAGTGTGTTCTACAATTTGGTGATGCTGCTACGTTGGCAATGGTGCTCAAACAAAAAAACTCTACACATTCGTCAATAGTGCGTGTCCAATGAAGAAGGGAAATTACATAGATTTTATAAATGCATGTGTGTTCTTTTAAGGCAGTGCGATTGACAAATGTTGATTTATTTTCTTTTCACTATCAAGTGAGCAAGTGCAGTGGTTGTGCAGAGATATTGGTCGAAATTCCACATTTATATAGGACATTATTAACACCGTGCATGCTATGTTGTGTAGAGTGTTTGTGAACTGATTGTAATTTAAACGCACGTTAAATTACGAATGCATTACAATTAGTCGCAGTTTAATTGCCTTACCCTTGCTGAGCATGTTAAAGTGGCAATATGCACAAAAGCATTTTAGAATATCCATTAAGATGTCAAATTGTATTTTACACTCAACGGTATAGTACCAAAGAATGTTATAAAGCCAAAACTGTTTAAATGTTGACTTTATTTTGGCACAATATATCCACTAGGTGGCAGACAGCCTTAGTTAAGGCCTCGTAAAGCATGTTATAATGGGTGTAAAAAAAATACGATACAAATATATGTTGAATATTTCTCACTAAAAGCCATAACTAAAGAATAATAATCACATTTTACACCAAAAAACATGGAGTAATAAGAGACACGCATTAAGGTTTTATGGACATTTCAAAATTAAATCACATCTCGCGCATGGTTTTCTGGAAAACAAGGTGTGTCCCCGTCATTATATTTATAAAAGCGAAACATTAGCCCACCAGACATACCTGTCTAAAATCCCGAAACAATTCAAGCTTAATGTGACCACAAGTCAGACTTAAGGTTTCCCATACACCCGTGTTATGTCGTAAGTCTCAATTCACTTCTGCACTGCTCTGGGCAAAAACCTCTAAAGTTCAACTCGGTTTACTTGCGTGGAATCTGGGCGGTTGTGTGGGTTAGGCTAGGGGGGGTTTGCTGGTCCTTAATGGAAGAGTAGGAGAAGGAGGGTGGGGGAGTTTGTGTCATTTCTTCCCTTTCCAAGAAGTGATGGAAGCCCGAGGCTGG